AATTTTAATTTGATGTACTCTAATATATATAACTCCACATGAAGTAAAAGGCTCTTGGAAGTGAACATCAAATTGCATTATTAACTCAAATAATTTTTGACAAAAATAATACGATTGTTAGAGGCATTATTGTAATCATCAATATATCCAAATGTACACTTAAAAATGTCTAGAAAAAGGCTCCAATCCATATGAATTGCTATGCTCAAATTATTGTACCACTACAATGCTATTTTTTAGGGATATGTGGGAAACTCATGCAAACACTATATATCATTTTAAAAATGATAGGTAGTAATCATTGTAAAATGATCAAATTTATGGTATATATCATCCCAAGGATTCTAATAAAACAATTCTAGCCAAATACAAGGATTGGTAACAAAAGTAGGAGGAGCTACGTCACACACCATAAATGCCACTATCATTTGAGTTTGATTGTTTAATTGTAATTTTATAGCATTAAGAAATTGCATGAATTGATGTTCTAGAATCAAAAGAGGAGGAACCTATTACTCTACCATGAAAATAAATGATAAGAAGTAAAAAAAAAGAGAAGAAAATGAAAAATTATTTAAAGAATAAAGATTTAAATGATGCAAAAGTTATATCTAAACCAAAAACATAAATCCAAGCACTTTTCAAGGATAATCAGAACTACCTTTCATTTCCACCAATGTGAATGCATAAAATATAAAAATCTGCATATTTGATTATATAGAAGCGAGTGATTTGAATTAAAACCAATCAGATTGACTACTAAAATCCCACACACTAATAATAGTATACAACATCATAGCCATAGTACGTCACACATTACTATAATAACATATTTTATTTCTAAATTTTTAACTTTTTAAAAGTTTGACTTTTATTACACATTTAGTTTTACTATTATTATTTCAAAATAACTGTAATATTAACTTTCTAGTAATGGATAATAACTATATAAACGCTCAAAAGACAAGTTTGTTCATTTATAATTTTTTAGCCTCAATCTTTTTAGTGCATGAATGATAAGTAAAAGAAAATATCTTACATTTTCTTATTAAATAAACGAGTTTACTTTTTTCCACAAAATTCTTTTAAAGAAGAGATCTAGTTAGAGGCAAAGAGAGGAATCAAAAGAAAAATATGGGAGAGATGCTATCTCAGCTTGATACCTGGTGTTGGACTCTCCGAAGAGAAGTGCAAAGCGAGAGAACAGTTGTGTCTCGCAAATAAACCTCCACCTCAATAAAGAAACAATGTGTGATCTCTGCAAGTCTTTGAGTCTATCTCTTGACGTAAACCCAGAACTTAATCTGCATCGATCCACTGCAGATTCTTTTTCGACGCCTGTTGGCATGTCCCGCCTTGACACTTTCCTCCATCATTGGGATAGAATCCCGCAAAGAACAGCCTGCCAGAAACTTACAGATCTTATAAAACTCCCTCCGTCCTCGAATCCATGCCCACTCCACCACCCCTTGGCCTCCTGCTTCTCCTCAGCGCCCTTGATTCCCTCCCACAAGTCTGGCTGAACGGGAAGCCAGGCACCGCCGGGAGCAGTCCAATCCTTCAAGTTCTTCCAAGCAATTTAAGGCATGTTCCCGAAAGATGAACATACTTTCAATCGTGATTCGAAACGTTCTTTTCTTTTGCCTGCCCTTCCAATTTCATCACAAATTTCGTGTGGCTATGGCGGGCTATGTGGGGAGATTTGATAATCCGCAATAGTTCGTGCAATCTCTTGCTCCTCTCAATGATCGGACGTAGAATTCATAGGCCCTAAATGTGTAACTTCAGACCACTATTTTATCCATGTAATGTCTTGCTGGTAAAATCACACCAGGAAAAGGCTTGTTGTGTGATCATCACTTTATTGCATTTCATCCATAGTGTTTCTTCCTCCTCACTTGCTCCATCCAATATCAATGATTGTTACACTGGGAGAGAGACAGCCTGATGGAGCAACCGAAAAGGAGAAGCCCAAAGAGAGAGGTCTCGCAAATAGACCGACCTTCTTTCCACCTGCGATGGAGGAGCAATGCATGATCTTGTCACAGAGAAAAAGGAGAGGGACTTTACCTTTTCGAGGAAATGCTGAAACTCTTTCACTCTGGCGGATTCTTTTCCGAGGCCACACCGTTGATTCAGGGCGTTGGTGACACTCTTCTCCATCATCGTTGCCACACAGAAGAATGTTAGCCTGCCAGAAATTTAGAGCTTATGGAAGGAAAATGGTGCTATTAGAAGCTCGTCCTTGGCCCAACATGCTAACAGCAGTGACCTCAAGGTCTAGGCATGACATGAAAGCTGGAAAGCAAGCAAAGAAAGGTTGAAAGCTGGAACCTTGGAAATGAAGCCAATGTCTCTGAGAAGCTTGGCAAACTACAGTCGCATTTCGATGCCAGTTTATCAATTTTCCTTAAACGATTCGAGCTAGTTGAGCACGGGCATACTTAAAAAGCTCGCATCACAAAACTGTCTTGCAGCCCTTGCTCCTCCCTGCAAGAGGAGACGTAGAACGCTAAACCCTGAGAAATGAGCCGTGCACCATACATCATCATCTACATGGAAGTAAGGTTAGTTCAATGAGAAACAACCGGTTTAGCAGTGTTGCTAGCTTGCCAATGTGTATGTCCATTGGGAGTGCTGCTAAATGACTGCCTAATGGAAAATAACGTTACTTCCATGTAGATGCTCACGGAAGAAGAATATCTAGATATTCTTCTTGTGTGAGCGCTCCATACATGCTTAAAAGTATGAGAGATTTGTGTACCTCGCGAAGAATGGACAGTGCACTCTCCACAGCTTCGGTCTTGCATGGATCCAACGCCTGTTGTGACATTACATAAGATTCTTCTGTGAAAGCAACGACGCATACCTTCTCAAGTTCTCCACCAGAAAGAAGCTTGATTTGCAAACAGAGTTCTACCAAAGGAGCACGGAGCATCTCCGGCAGCTGAAGTACTCGAATCAAAGAACAGAGTCAAAGAAAAACTCCATCACCTGAAATGAACACATGAGTTCATTGAAACGATTCTCTGTGTACAAACAGTAGCAGTTCCCAACTTTCACTCGTCCGGCTCGTCCTCTGCGCTGCCGCACATTTGTTTGTGATATCCATGAGCTTCTCAAATATCTGATAATGCATACAAATGAGACGGGATATCCTGGTGCCCTTTTAGTGTTTCTTCCGGTAAGTCCACCTGGTTTCTTACCATTCTTTGCTGTTTTGATGATAGGGAATGCCTAAAATACTTCAGTTATTCGATCGTTTAATGGTACCCAAAACACTCAATGGTGATTGGCTTTCAGTTCTGCAAGTTACCATCTGTCATTCTAGATTATTGGCCACAAACAATTGCAGAAACAAGTAGATTGTCGAAAGCACAAAGAAAATACCCACATGCCCAGTGCTAAGCATCTTGAAAAGGAAATTTTAGACCTAATGCAGATAAAATCAGAGAGAGAGAGATAACACCATACCAGACTTTTCCGAGTGTTTTCAGAATAGTTGCGATAAAGTGATTCTTTATAGAGAGGATTGACTGATCTGTTCATCACCCCATCCCAATCTTGCCGTCCTCTATTCTTGTCACACATTTTGAGAGGCCCTCTGCAGAATAAGATTAGCCAAACACTGCTTACATTGTTTTTATGAACCTTATCATGTGATGAATAATTTTGCAATGCTGCTAGATGACAAATAGAAGGTCTGCAGAGGATAAGTGCGGCCCGTGGCAGCCACCACAGGACTAGAAAATGTCTCTAACATAAGAATCACTTTTAAGTGGGTTCATTTTGTCCTTGTTTCTCTTTGCCACTAAGTCTCGCAACAGACTGATTAAAAAATCACCCCACACAGGTTTAACAATGAGGAACATCCACGTACCAAAACCGTCCGTTCGTAACAACCTGGGTCACTCTAAGAAAGCTTAGGAATTCCCCATGAACGACGCAAACGTACCGCAAGCCTCCGAAGCAATATGCCAGAAGAAAAAGTGTGTGTCATCAGTCCTGAAAGGGATGTCGTTCCAGGCCAATTCATATCAAACAAAGTTACCATGAAGCATCCAAACGAACTTGATATCTGCTTCCCCGTAAAAGAACGCATTTATGAGTTCTGTAGATTAACAAGAACCCAAAACCTTACAGCAATTCGACGAGGTTGTGTGCAGACGATCTTACATGAGCTACCTTGACCGGCAGCGATCATATCATCCAAGATCACCTGCACCAAAGGAAACATGAAAACAAATCCGCGAGCTGCAGCTGGTTTCGCTGCGGCGCTCAGCTATAGGATTGATCCCTACACAGCCAGGCGGGACTGAATTGGGAGAAGACTCCATTGTTCTTGAAGCCTTTGAAGCTGCGGCGATCTGAAATCTCCTGAGATTGGCACCAGATTTGTGTTCGAGCAGTGGCGCTGTTGTGCTTCGCGCTGTGATCTTGTTGTCCCAGAAATGCGAATGCTGGCATTGTGCTCCAAGTGAGGGGTGAGCCAGGCTCACCTCCGAGAGCTCTAGGATTTTTTTTGTTCACGTCTTCATACTGTAAATTTTTTGGGCTCGGCGGGCCTCCACGTGGCAAAGGAGCTCGTGCGGCTCGTGATGGTCAAGAAGTAGAGGATGGCAGTGCCGTTGATTACGATATGTTCACTCGGATTGGCCTTGGCATTGATCCTGCTCGATGATGCTATAGAGTCTTGCGGCCACGACTGCTTCTTCGCAAGAATGTGGGCGACTTGTGTGTCAGCTCCACCACAATAGTTTCCATTAAGTGGCAATGGAGTTGCTTCTCGCTCTGGATTTATGGGGAGTGGAGCTTGGGCACAAACATATCATGAAGAGAGAAGTTTCATGCTCTTTGGAAGACCGTGTAAACAGCTAATGAATGAATATTGCCCTTACTTCATTCATTCATATATTATTTACAATGGTCTTACACAACCTCCCATGAGCATGATTCAAGTATGCAACTGTCCTCTTCCCTTGGGCTGGGCGTGGGGTCGATCTTCCTGCCGTGCCGGTGAGTGTTATGTTCTATCTGTTACTACTAAATAATAAATAATATACTAGTAATAGTACTCTTCATCTGAGGTCACAGGCGATCAAATAGCTTTACGACTCTCCTGGCTTAAACGCATTACAGTATAGTCTTCGTGCCCCCATTTATCAATCCAGTATTGGATGTTATGCTCACGGGTAGTGAATGGCAAAGCCCCTGAAAAGATTGGCCTCATATAAACTGTGTCCATGACCACCTCTTCTTTGTTATAAGGGTTGACACGGATCCTGCGACAACTGGCTTGCCTCCAGCCAAATGGTCCATTCCCAATCACCTGGAACTTATGTTTTTCACCTAAAATAATGTCCATTTGTGAGGTACTTAGATTGATTGCAAGGAATAGAATATACCTGGAAAAATCTTAACGTAGCCTTCATCTCTTAACTTGTCCTGGAAGAAGATGACAGTGCTCAATGCCCAACCAGCTGCAGTACTAGCATATGAAATCCCAGAAATGGTTGCAGCTGCTGAAGTAATTGCAAGGAGTGCTGCAGTGGAGAGCCCAACCACTTCTACAACTCCATTTGCTACTAGAACGGCTACCAAAGGAGATGCTGCTCCAGCAGTGGCAACTATGGTGGAGATCACAGCAAAGGCTGTTACTACCCACTTGGCATATTTGAAGAAAATTTTGTCTTCCTCCACTTGGACCATGTAGACATCTGACGTGTTGTTGTAGATCTCAATGTAGGAAGGAAGGAAGAGAGCCATGTTTAAAAATGAGGTCGGCTGTTGGAGAATCGTTTGTGAATTGCTTCGCCATGGTCTGGTCTTTATATTGGTTCAATCGATTGACAGAGAAAATGTGGAGGTCCCTGACAATATATAACCCTACAAGATGGAATCTCTTTCTAAAGTAAAGCATTTCCTAGAGGTCCCATACCACTTGCAGCAAATATACATGTTGATATCACAGACGATTTGGAAGGATGGAGAGCCTATCCACACATTGCGGAGTGAACTTTATTCTCCCATTATTATTATAATAATCAAAAATTTCATATGAGTAATACTATTAAACTTTATTCAATAAAGTGGTATGTAAATTAGTGCATAATTGTTACTGTGTATGCCCAAAAAAGGGCCATAGATAGTCCGGACGATTCTGGAATCATGGTGGAGGATTAAAAAAAACAAGGGAATACAAACTGGCTCTAATTAAGAAAATATCTTAAATTTAAGCTGTAATTAATTAATTAATCAATTCTGCTAATTGATATGGTCGAGGAACCAAAAAAGATTGTGGAGAAGAAGCATCAAAAGGTTCTTTCCTGGATGACTGGATAAAGATAGAGCTCAGGATTTAAACCCTTACATGCGAATATTTCTATCTCAGAACTACCTGGTAAAAGGAGGGTCTAAACTTTGTTCCTTTTGTTTATAATTCGAGTTTAGTTATAATTAAACCTGATCACTGCTCCACTAAAACGAGAAGTTTGAGCACCGAGTTTACTACTTCTTTTCCACGAGCTGATGACAATCCCTGCAAAGAAAGAGATCTAGTGATCGTAAGATAGAGGAATCAAAAGGACAATGTGGAAAAAAGCTAGAAGCATCAAAAGGTTCTTTCCTGAGGTGATTTGGTCAGCTCGCTGAGTAGCAAATCCAGTGAAGACCGCAGCTCTTTGAAGAGCACAGCAGTTCGCGCTGGAACGTCGATCTTCATCCAGTCATCAACAGTCGCATATCCAACCTGTGATTTAAACCCAGTAAGAGATTACATGCGAATATTTCCATCCCTGCAATACCTGGTGTTGGACTTTGATGGAGCCACCAAAGAGGAGAAGCGCAAAGGGAGAGAGAACAGTTGTGTCTCGCAAATAAACTCTACTTGTTTCCACCTGCAATGAAGAAGCAATGCGTGATCTTGTCACGGAGAAATTGGACAAAAAAAAGGGGAGGGACTTGCCTTTTCGTGGAACACCAAGAACGGGTGCTGAAACTCTTTCACTTTAGAGTTTATGGAGGAAGGATGAACGTAGACTTCACGGCGGCCATCGGTCCACCGCGGATTCTTTTCCGACGCCAGGCCAGCGCGTTGATTGAGGGCGTTTGCGTGTCCCGCCTTGACACTTTCCTCCATCATCGTTGCCACATTGGGATAGAGTCCCGCACAAAGAACAGCCTGCCAAAAACTTCCAGAGCTTATGGAAAAAGAAATGGTGCTACTAGAACCTTGATGACTGATGCAGATTGAGCATTCTGGTTGAACGGCTGGTTTATCTCGTCCAGGCACTTATCAATGTCCGCAGCCCGGTTATCGCCCTGAGAAAACGAGTTGCAATGATAAGAAACTTGAAAAGCCGGAACCTTGGAAATGAAGCCAATGTCTTTCAGAAGCTTGGCAAACTGCAGTCGCATTTCCCTGCACAAAACGATGCCAGTAGTTTATCAATTTTTCTTAAAAGATTAGAGCTACCTCAGCATGTTTAGCACGGGCATACTTAAAAAGCTCGCATCACAAAACTGTCTTGCAGCCCTTGCGCCTCCCTGTAAGCAAGTCTGATGAGACAAAGGAAGATTTAGAAAGCTAAAACCTGAGTAACCAGCCGTCTCCAGTTTTCATAAGCCGCTACAATGACCAGGTGATCAGACTGTCTACCAGACGCGATAGTACTTTTCTCCGCTGCTGAGTCACCAAATGCGTGTTTAGCTCGTTCAGCAGCATCTCTCTGTGCGTGGAGGGGGTCAGCTGGCATACAAATGATTTGTGGAATGGATTACCTGACCAAGAGGGGCGACGAAAGGTGACTTGTGACTCAAATAAGCAGCTATGGTTAAAACTGGACTTAGACAGCCAAGGAGTGCGCCATACAGCAACATCTACATGGAAGTAAAGTTAGTTCAGTGAGAAACGACGTAACAGTGCTGCTACCTTGCCAATGTGTACGTCTACCGGGAGTGCTGCTAAATGACTGCCTAGTGGAGTAAGATATTCTTCTTCGGTGAGCGCTCCAACCTGCGTATCAGATCAATACATGCTTAAAAATATGAGACATTCGTCTACCTCACGAAGAATGGACAGTGCACTTTCGACAGCTTCAGTCTTGGGTGGATCCAAAGCCTGTTGGCACCAGATTAGGTTGTTCTGTAAATGAACGACACATACCTTCTCAAGAAATGAAGCCACGTTTTCCACAGAAAGAAGCTTGATTTGCAAACAGAGTTCCACCAAAGGAACACGGAGCATCTCCGGCAGCTGAAGTGCTCGCATCAAATAACAGAGGGTCAAAGAAAAATTGCATTACCTGAAATGGACGCATAAGTTTATCGAAACGACTCTCTGTGTAGAAACAGTAGCAGTTCCCAGCTTTCACTCGTCCGGCTCGTCCTCTGCGCTGCCGCGCATTTGCTTGTGATATCCAGGCCTCCATCATGCGCGACATTCTCTACAAATGCTATATCAGTATGAGACTTATCACTGGTGCCAGGTATTACCCGTCGGGGTTCAAAACGATTTTCTTTGTGCTTTCCACAATCTATGACGTGAACAACGTCTTCAATTGTCACACTTGTTTCTGCAATATTCGTGGCCAGTACAATCTACAATGCAATTGTTAGAATGACACGGTAACTTGCAGGACAAAACGGTTTCTTACTTTGCGAATTCCACGTGGAGGCACTTGAAAAACTTTTCGCTGGTCTGCTGGAGCAACCGAGGAATGCAACGGCAAAAGCCACTCTGCTGCAGGACCACTGAATGTTTTCAGTACCATTAAACGATCAAGTAACTGAAGTATTTCAGGCATTCCCTATCATCAAAACAACAAAGAATAAATTAGAGACGGTAAGAAACCAGGTGGACTCACCGGAAGAAACACTAAAAGGGCACCAGGATCTCCCGTCTCATTTATATGCATGATCAGATCTTCGAGAAGCTCATAATCAATCACGTCCTCATTGACGTTCGCCTAATGCAGGTAAAATCAGAGAGAGAGATAGAGAGAACAAACACCATACCAGATTTTTCCGAGTGTTTTCGGAATACTTGCGATAAAGTGATTCTTCGTAGAGGGGATTGACCGGCCTGCTTTCAAGTATCTGGTCATCACCCCATCCCATGCGGGCCAAATCTTGCCGTCCTCTATTCTTGTCAACCACATTTTGAGAGGCCCTCTGCAGAATAAGATTAGCCAAACACTGCTTACACTGTTTTATGAACCTTATCATGTGATGAATAATTCTGCAATGCTGCTGGATTATCAGATGAGAGACGATATTCCAGTTGCTCGTATATATCCTCCAAGTAGAAGGTCTGCACAGGATAAGTGCGCCCTGTGGCAACCACCACAGGACAACCTCCAAAGTACTGAGAAAATCTGTCAGCATCCAGTGTCGCAGACCTGCATCAAGAGAAAAAAGAATGTTAATGTCTCTAATGACGCAGTGTACACTAACATAAGGATCACTTTAAGTGGGTTCATTTTGTCCTCGTTTCTCTTTGCCACTAAGTCTCGCAACAGACTGATTAAAAAATCACCCTGAAACCAAAACACAGCTATCACAATGAGGAACTTCCATAAGACACGTACCAAAACCGTCCGTTCGTGCACCTCGTCGACAACAACGTGTGAAACATCACAAAGGTCTGGGTCACTCTAGAACTCTTAACGGAGTTAGAAACTCCCCATGAACGACGCAGACTTACCGCAAGCCGCCGAAGCAATATACCCGTTGTGCAAAAGAAAAGGCGTGTGTCATCAGTCCTGAAAGGCATGTCGTTCCAGCAGAAATCATATCAAACAAAGTTACCATGAGGCATCCAGACGAACTTGATATCCCACTGTACTTCCTGCTTCCCCGGGTCCTGCCTCGCATCGCTCACTTGCCACTCGTTCAGAAACGGAAATAGCCTGGTAAACAAACACAAACGCATTTATCAGCTCTATAGCTTAACAAGAACACAAAACCTTACAGCAATTCGACGAGGTTGTGTGCAGATGATTTTACATGAGCTACCGTGACCAGCAGCGATCATATCATCCAAGATGTACTGTGGCACCTGTACCAAAAAGGCATAAACTCTTTATCTTACAAATTGAAGTCATTACCTGAGTGGTTTTCCCACTTCCCGTTTCACCGCTCACTACGAGAACATTGCTCGTAACCAAGTGTTGGAGAATTGTTTCTTTAACTGACGCTATAGGTAGTGAATGACGCGCAGACAGCATTGCCTTTCACCACAGAACCAATTTCATTGAGGCACATAAACAGCTACCTGTACCTGATATTTTTTGTCTTTCAATTTTCTTTCCTGAATGAGCTTCAGATGACTGCTGACAGCGTCATGATCTGCAAGGACTCGCGCGTTAGCCAGATCCTCTTGGTAACATGGACTTACTTGTCTGCCTGAAACTCTTGCGCTCACGAACGATGACAGGCGGTTGGAAAGGTTTTGAAGTGCTCTCCGGAGTACGTACAGCCTCGTCAGGAGAAACTCTTGGTCTTTCAGACTCAAGAAGAGAGCTGATAAAATCATCTCTAGTTTCAGTGCTGCCTTCCGTTGCCATTTTCCCTGCACATAAAACGTAGATATAATTCACGGAAATGGAAGGACATAAGAAACTTGCACCTTGCTCATGCCAACGTAGCCACATTGATCGAAAAGGTTCTACCAACTCAAGGTAGATAGGTGCTTCGGGAAATAATGAAAACAAGCTCCAAGTGGCCACAGCATCTTGTGCCTCCTGAACGAGACAGCGAACACCATAAATAGTTGCAGGTCTACTGAGAAGAAGTGAAAAACAAACCGAAACTGTGCTGAAAAGATCCGCGTCTGGAAAACTAAACGTTACTGGACCGCCGCCTTTCTTTTGTTTTCCACGTCCCACTCTTGGACGGAATACCGTTATCGCATAGTTGTAAGCACCTTGTTGAGCAGCAAGCTTTTCAAACTTAGGAGCTTCCCATCCATTTTTCTGGCAATATTGTTGAAGAATTGCTCGTGGAAATTTCTGTGGTTCATTAACTGCCTTTAACAGAGAAACACCGTGAGTAAAAAAAGGAGAACGTATGTTCTTACCTTTTTACGTTTGCTTTTGTCACCACGGGAGTCTTTCATTCCCCAGGGTTTGATCTCCTCTTTCTTTTGCAATTTGAGCAGCGTCTGAGGAATGCTCACAGCTTGCGCAGATTCTTCGTCAAACATTCCACCTAGATTTTCCTCGTCTTCCACAGCTTTATCATCAGAATGTTCCGTCAGCTGTTGCTTATTCTCAGAATCACGGCCAGCGTCCACAAGCGAGCTTTCTTGATCAATAGTAGCAATCGGAGCAACTTGATCCTCGCTCGGTTGAACACTTGCAGCCGCTTGATCCTCGCTCGGTTGGCCAACTGAAGTCACTTCATCCTCGATCGGTTGATCACTTGAAGCCGTTCGAGCCTCCACAGAAGAAACTAAATCGTCTTCATTTAGCCCTGAGAGGAAGATCGTCAGCAGTATTCGTGCGTAAAACCTCATACCAAGTGAAAGCATTTTCTCCTTGAGATCTCTAATGGTCTTCCCTGCCTCGCTCTGACGTTGCTTGTCTCCTCTCGCCTTGGCTTCTGATGCAGCTTGTTTTGCAGATACAAATGCCAGTGCAATTTTCTCTGCTGAATCAAGTGGATCGTTCTACGTGATAAATATATTAGACGCTGTTACACGTAAAAAGCACTTACTCTATGTCGGGAAAACTTGCCATCCACGCGCTCCTGTTCTTTCAACAATTAGAAAGACAGGCAAAACACTCAAGAAGTACCTCCCAGTCTGAAAGATCGCTCTGACTGTCGTCTTCTTTCTCCTGAAGTCACAGCTTAAACGCATTCACAAAAACGATCTCTTAACGTACCTCCTCTTGTTGAGCAACATATTGCCGTATCCAATCTTTGTCAGCATCGTTCTCTGAGGTTTTTCGCTTCTCCTTCGCATTAAGTTGCAAGAGATCTGTAAAATCGCTCTTTTCTCTGATGCTTTCGGAGGATTTACTTGAATCGCCTTGAGATGATGCCAAAACCTGGATAGAACCCCCTGGAGAAAACGCATTTAGCTCGACAAGGCAAAGAAAATTTGAAAGGCTCGACCTTTATCATCTACAGAGAATCCGGTACTAAACTTTAGAGGCAGCTCATTCGGGTGAATATTAAGACAAAGCCAATCCAATGCGGTCTCCAATGTAACGTTGCTCTGGAAAAGGTCACAAATTTTCAGAAAAAATTGAAAAGTTTTCTCAGCTTACCAGCGGAATGGCGGCTAGAGCAAGCTCGATCTGCTCAGCAGTGAATCCCTCATTCCCTAGACTATCATAAATCTTCCTCAGCTTCTTCACAGCCTGCTTCTTATCGACGATCTCGCCGCCGCTGGAGCTTGATTTCGAGGCGACATTACCGACGATCCGAGAGAGCGCCTTCTCTTCCTCTGCAGACAAACGCACCAGTGCCACGCCTCTCTGCTTAGGCGCCATTGGCATAAACCCTAAAACTCACTCGAAATATTTGCTGGGGAAGAGTATCGAACGCACGACCAGTGGAGCACAGTGATTTTGTTTTTTAGGTCGCGGGAGGACGAGGAGGGAGAGATGGCGAGCTCTTTCCTCGCGACGCCATCGCGGCATCTCGTCTGCTCTAACCTATCGGGTAAGCAAGATTTCTCTCGCCGCATTTGCAATCCTCCGTCGATCGTTCGATCGCTTCGCTTGAAATAAGAGCAATATTTCGCAGCGCGAGGAGTTAAATCTCTTAGAACAGGAATCCAAGCTCGTCCTCTGCACAATCTAAGCAATCTAAGGTAGGATTTTTCTTCGATTTCTAAGGACTAAGAGCTTGATCTTTTTCTTTGTTCGTTCTTCTAGTTCTACATGGAAGAAAAACGTAGACAAGGCACAATGGAAGGCTGTTTTACAAGAGGACGCTCCCTACGCAGTGGCAATCGGTGCTTGTGTTTTGAGCTCTTTGGTTCTACCAAGTGGACAAACCAAGCCCGATGGCAGTGTTTTTGGTCCAGACGACGTTCGCTACGCAGCAATGGGGATTATAAGTTTCATTCCTTTGTTCGACTGGCTGGTAATCTCTTTTGTTCGTTCTTTGTTTTTCTTTATCGAACTTAGGAAGTTCTTCTTTTCTTACTATGAACTTAACTGTCTTGTTACTAGGCATGGGTATTTGCGTGGCTTGATACAAGCAAACGAAAATATCTCATCTTCTCGATAGTTTATCTTGCTCCCTACCTCAAGTGAGAACCTATCCTTAGTTTACTTCGCTGACTTGTGATTGAAAACGATGCAGGAGTGGGATGTCTTTGTCGACAGATGATAGCTGGTTACCCTTAGCTAGTGTACTCGCATGTATACTCCATGTCCAGGTCAGTCGGCTGTCGTTTTTATCCTTTCTTTTTTGACAAAAGAGCTTGATATTTTCTCTCCATGGGCTCCAGCTTGAGATTGCTGTGAACAACCAAAGCTTGGAAGAAGCGCAAATAAAGGAGAACATCACAAGGATGCTGTTTGAGAAAACCAGAATAAAAGAGCTGCGGGACCGGGGCACTGGACTTCTCTCGAGGCTACAAAATCTCGCCGAGCAATCCGCCGTAAGAACTTTTCAGAAGCTAGTCACAAAAATGTCTTCTGCTTCTTCTTTTGTTCTAAATTCTCTTCGCCTTGCCTAAACAACATCTTGCTCGTCACTTGCAGCATGCGGAAAAGCCAGAAGACTTCGAACATGAAGCTACAAACAACGAGTTTGAGACATGGGACGAGAAGTTCTTGCACAAGATAAAGAAGAACAAGAGAGACGAGGTCGTAGACAGCAGTGAAAAGGCCAAAGAATGAGTGTAGCTACCGACACACGACACACGACTGCGAATATAAATAAGGTATACCTTTCAGCTTTCATCACTGGGCCCTGAATCTTTTAGTGTAACGCACTTTGCTCCACTCAGAAGCGAGCGTGAGCGCATGATCGCCTTTCAGAACGGGTCCTCAAGGTACGAACTAGTTTTCATTATCTTTGCATTTTGCGTGGTTAAGGTCTAGTTTGGAGGAGTCGTGCTTTCGTGGCTTGACTGAGACGTGCTGTCATTTTCCAACAAAGAGTGTTGGGTTGTCTTCACACCTTCCCGTCCTGTGACTCTGCTTGTGTGCCGCTCACCAGCCTGTGGATATTGACTCTTTTTTTCTTTAATTCCTTGAATTCCAGACTAGTTTCTTGGATTTATTCCAAACAGATCGATCGATGTACAGTAAGATACTATAACTCGGTCGTCGTTGAATTGAAACACCACCCTCTTGTTTCCTTGTCCATGGTAACTGTGTGTATGTGTGTGTGTGTATCTCTGTTTTCATTCTTTGTGTGACTGTTTTCACGCGCTCTTGTTCGACTTTTCTACGTCTATCACGAATCGGTATCTGACGTCGTTCTTTTCCAGCCGCTTCATCGCCTCGTTGATGTAGTCGAAAGTTACCGTCTCGATCATACACTCGATCTTCTTCTCGGCGCTAAACTCCAGCATCTCTTGCGTCTCCTTCATGCTGCCGATAAAGCTCCCGGCGATCATACGTCGTCCTGGACACAAAAGCCACAAGTAAGTTTCTTGTCTCTCTCAAACCATTTAAACTTTTCTCTCGTTCTTACCCAGGAGGATATTAGGAGCCACGAACTGTAGAGGTGCCGGAGCAACTCCAAGGAGAATGAACTTGCCATTCATTCCCAACAGAGGCAAGTACATATCCAGCGGATGAGGAGCTGGAATGGTGTCGAGGATATAATCCAGGGATTGAGCAGCAGCCTGATCGTAAATACAAACATCCAGAGAAAGAGGTAAGCATCAAAGACAGGGAAGCAGCAGAGACAAGAAAAGAATTCGAGCCAGACGAGACGAGAAAACTTACTGCCATTTGCTCCGGATCAGTGCTGACCAAGAAGTCGTCCGCTCCCAGAACTTCTCGGGCCTCCTTCTCTTTGCTGCGAGAAGTGCTAATGACCGTAACGTGGAGGCCGAATGCCTTGGCGAACTTGACTCCCATATGCCCGACACCGCCGAGACCGAGGATACCACACTTCTTTCCAGGCTCGGTCATTCCAAAGTGCTTCATCGGGCTGTAGACCGTGATCCCGGCACAGAGAAGCGGAGCTGCGGCGTCGAGTGCCAGTCCCTCTGGAATGGTCACCACGAATCTGGAAAGAAAAGATGGCTCCTGGTCAGGAACGAGAAGAGTTCGCAGGAAAAAGCTATGGAGCTCAAGAACAGTGAAAGAGACAGGGGATGAAAGTGGAGACGAGAATATGGATCTCGACATGAAGAACTTTTGGGAAAACTTGGCAGCGGCGACGTGCCAAGAACTTGGAAGACTTTCGAGCGAATCTTTGTCACTTAGAACTTTGTCGGAGGAAACTTGGAGAACTCTTTCGCTGGAAAAGCCTGGGAAGAACTTGGAAGGAAAAGGAGGGATTATCTTCTTGCCTTTGATCGACAACCATGATATCGGCAAATCCACCCTGAGTTGGCTCGCCATCGGGGAAGACATCGTTGTAGGTCCATCGCTTTTTCGAGCAGTACTGCTCCATATCCCCGGTGCAAGCATTGCAATCCTGGCAAGAACCAACGATGCATCCAACGCCGACGCAATCGCCCACCTTGAATCTCTCCACGCCGGCACCGACTTTCGTCACGGTTCCCACCACTTCGTGCCTGGAATCAAACCCAATTCCATCGATCGATCAGTTCTCGCAAGGAATTCGATAGAAAGAGGATTTCATACCCGGCAACCATTGGGTATCGCGACATTCCATAGTCGTTCTTGAGCTGGTGGAGATCGGTGTGGCAGATTCCACAGTAGAGTACTTTAATCTCCACGTTATCGGGATCCACTTCCCTGCAAGAGCACGAAATTCTCATCTCGCCAATTCGATCCACTCGCGCTCGACAGGGAAATGGAAGGAAGAAAACCTGAGAGGGAATTCGTATGGCGAGAGAATGCCGGAGCCGTCGTGCGCGGCCCATCCGTGCGCTGTTCTTGGCGATTCTAGGCTGCCCATCTCCTCTCTCTCTCTCTCGGGATTATTCTTCTCGCTCGCCCCCCCAGCCGAAAGCTTTTATAGTGTTGTCCAAGGGCGCATCCTGGCCGTCGGCCTCCCACGCATCGCCACCGTTGATAATGGTTTCGGTCAAAGTGCCGTCACCTACCAATCTTAAGCATATTTTTTAGTGTGAAACGAGGCCTAAATAATAAGCTGTCAAGACGTTGTCAAATGTCAACTTTTCTTGCTAAAGAGAAAGTTTACTTAGGGTTTGGGCAAAATTTTTAAAAGCATATTCTTGATAATATTCGCTAAGAAACCCTAAAATCAAATTGTCTCTTAAAAAGAAGAACCCTAAACTCCTTTTTGCCCGTTTCACTTCTTTCGCTTCTTGGGAGGCTCCTCGTCTTCGTCATTGTTATCTTCCTCGTCTTCTTCGTCTTCCTCGTCATCTTCCTCCTCCTCGTAGGGCTCATCCCCATCGTCCTCCTCCACTTCTTCTTCCTCGTCCTCTTCTCCTTCCTCTTCCTCGTAGCTTGGATCGTCGCCCCCTCCGGCTTCCTCCTCGCCATCGCCGCCGCCGCCGCCGCCGCCATCCTCGTCGTCGTCGTTCTTGCCACCGTCGTCCACGTCCGAGCTCTCGCGCCCGCCATTGTCTTCGTCCTCGTCGCTGTGATCGTCCTCGTCGTCCTTTTGGGTCACCTCACACTCGGATCCAGTCTATGAACCGATCAAAGTTAAATCAAATCGAGAGCCCGATACTGTGGATTACCTGTTCTTCTCCATCGTTGTCCTCCGTTAGCTTCGATGATGAAAGAGATGGTTCCTCCTGGGAAGAATCAAAGAAGAAATCGTTGTTAAATCGCTAAAGAACTCAAGGATAGATGGATAGACTGATACCTCGGATATGTCTGGACCCATGCTAGTATCGTCATCTGGAAAGAAAGGCATAAAAAATTCTCATGGTCACAGTTTCTTATGTAAGAACGATCATAGAAACCAAAGCTTTGATCTATTCTATCAAACTCACCTGGAAGCGAGGAGAAGATTGCCGCTGGAAAACTGGAAAAGAATCGTTTAGAGAAGATCTGGGAAGAAGAAATTACAGTACCTTGTTCCATCGATGCCTCGGAGCTCCAGAAGCCTCTTTCCAACCAGCGCCATGGAAACGAATCGCTGCTAGAAGAACACAAAAGAGAGATCTAAGGAAGGAATGTTTTTCTTTCTGGCCTGCAAAGAACCGGGATCGTCAGGAGAGAAACAGTCTTTCAATTCAAGCGCCATTCAGCAAGGAAACACGAAGCCACGAAGAGGAACAAAGACGACGAGGAACAAAGAGAAGACGAAGAGTAGCAATCCAGTGTAGCCATAGCCGCCGAAGCAAAACCCTCACTAAACCCTACCACTCGCGGCCTCCCGAGCTGCCAAATGCGAGGAAAAAACCGAGATCTAACGCGCGGATGGGGAGAAAAGGGAGGATTTGAGCTACAAGGCCCGCGACGCCATAGCCGGGAGGAGGAAGACGAAGCTGCCCGCGCTGCCCGTAAAATAAAAGAACCCGTCAAAAATCTCCTCCCACGCCCTGGGCTGCCCGAGCGGGCACAAACATTAACGTTGGTAACTGACACGTGTCAGCCAGATGCGCGGATGGGCAGATCGCAGCCGTCCGTGTCTCCAAGTATCTAAAATCGGAGTCCGGGAAAATTGGAGGGGTGTTTTATTTAAGATTAAACATAAAATAGACTTAACGGAAGCCCAATCCTGAGCGTTGAATAGCGAACGGCTGGGATCCCGGCAGTTCTTAGGGCTCCGAGAGAGTTTAGGGGTTTGTTGACTGTGACGAGCTAAGCTATGGCTGGAGCGGCGCTCGTCTTCGCATTCGTGGCGCTACTCGGCGCCGTGGGAGCGCTCGCGGATGCCGGCAGTGGTGCGTTCCTTCTCCTGCACAAGGAGGTGCAGATCAAGCGATTGAAGCCTGGATCGGAGCGCATCACTGTCTCGCTCGTCGTTCACAACGCGGGATCCACGTAAGTAAGAAAAATCTTGAGCTAGGTTGGAGGAATCGGCCTGGGATTGCTCGACTTTGAGCAATATTTTCGATCTGGCTGGATTGAATTGCATGACTTTGTTGCTTTCTTGCACTGATTGATAGAAATTCTCTGCCCTGGGATAGAGTTTGATCGCTATCCAAATTCTTACGATTGGAATGTTTGCAGCACAGCGTATGATGTGAGCTTGATCGACGATTCGTGGCCCAGTTCTTACTTCAATGTCGTGTCCGGGGACACATCCACAGCATGGGAGAAGCTAGAAGTGTAAGTTTCAATGGTTTTTCTTGGAAGTCTTTTGTGGAACTTACACTGTTTTGCAGTGGAAAGTCCCTGCAGCATTCGTTTGTCTTGGAGCCCAAAACCAAGGGTTCGTTCCAAGCCGCTCCCGCGGTCGTGAAGTATCGCGTGGCGGCCAAATCAGCGCTACAGGTACGTGTTCTAGAGATGATAACTTCGAGAGCATTCGTTGTCTTGGAATTTTCGTCGTCGTGATGGTTTGTACATTGTGATGATCAATCAATCAGGAAGCATGGTCTACTCCACTGCCGCCGCTGGACACTCTCTCCGACAAACCAAGTGGGATCAAATACGATTTCGTAAGTTTTTAAAGCTTTTCTGGTCCTCGTCCTCTGCTACTAAAGTACTGCTTACTTGCGATTGTCTCCCGTACAACAATCTCACACGCAGATCAAGGTAGATTTCTTCCGTTCCTCTGGAGCTTTTCTAACACCTTACTTCTTCCCGTCCAGAACATCGCGTTGAAATACGGCCCTCTTGTGTCGGTGCTTTCCATCGTGGGGATCTTCGTGTACCTGATGGTGGCTCCTTCCAGCTCCAAAAAGCCCAAGAGCAAGAAGCGCCGGTAAGAAAACAAGTATGAGGAAAATCTCAAAACTCTCAGTAGCAAGCACCATCACATCCTCTCGGGAAAACTCAAGCTCTTGAGCGTTTTGACATGAGCGACCATCAACTTACCTGAAAAAACACCACTTTGAATTTAAGTCCTGTTTTCCTACACAGTACTATAACTAGCTAAAGTCTCTCTATGAAAGCTCTCTATCACTGGCCAGTTTATTGCGAGCTAGCGCAGAATTGCCTTACTGCGAAACAAAAAGACGCGAAGTTAGAAGAAAGCGAATGAATATGTCAAGAACAACGAAGAAAAGAGAGACTTTTACCTACAGTCTTGGACGAAGTTGATCCATGGATCACCAGTAGTCACCGCAGGAGCACGTCCCATCCTTGGCAAAGTGGTGGAACCGCCGGTTATCTCGCACGATGATCTCTCGTTGCATAACCTTGGCGTAGAGCTTGGACGCGGTGTGGCAGTCTCCACACACTCGCAAGTTCTTGATCACTCTCAGTGGCTGCCCCGGCGGCGTGTTCATGTGTCCGTAAGCCATCGCCAGCCTCTCGCTGTGGTACCACAGCAGCCTCTCCTTCTTGTCCTCTGGAACGTCGTGAAGAACGTATCTCGTGTCGGGGATGTATCCATCCTTCTTGATCAGCGCGGTGATCCTGTCCACCTCGGCGTAAATCTCCCTCGTGTGCGGGTGCGAGCGATCGCCGGCCACGAACCCATGCACCGTGTTCTTGATGCTGATCATACTCTTGCCGGGCTCTTTCTTGATCCCCCTGTCCGTCATGAGCTTCCTCACGCGCTTGGCCTCCTCCCATCTCGCCGCCACCCTGTGAGCTCCGGTTCCCAGCGGATCAAGCTTGTTGTTGATCTTCATGATGATCTCGCCCACGCGCTGCGTCCGCGGAGCATCGTTCTGGGACTTGCAGCACTCGAGCAGCGCGAACCAGATGATCTCGTTCACCTGGAGCGGCACCATCCGGATCAGGTCTTCGGCCTCCTGGAGGTAGCCTTTCCTCGCAACCGTGTCCACCAGAGCGACGTAGTGCTCCATCTCCGGGACCAGTCCATAGTCGAACTTCATGTCCTTGAAGTAGCGGCCAGCTTCCTGGAGGTGACCACCGTAAGCACACGCCGTGAGGATGTCCACGAACGTAACTTTGTCCGGCATCACCCCGTCCTGCTGCATCATCCTGGCCAGCTTGAGCGCTCGATCGCTCTCGTCCTTCATTCCCAGGATTCCAATCATCGCGGACCAGGCCGCGACGTCGTGCTCTTCCGATGATTCAAACGCCAACTTGGTCTCGTCCAGGCAGTCGCAGCGAGAGTACATGTTAACCATCGCGTTCTTCACGAAGATGTCCTCGTGCTTGTCGTACTCCATAGCCGTGTAGTGCAGAGCTTTGCCTTCTTCCACCTCTCGCGCTCCGGCACAGGCCGTGAGGCCATAGCCGAGAGCGAACACGTCAGGCTCCACCCCCTTTTCCAGCATGTCGTGAGCAATGTCGATCGCGTCCCTATACTGGTTGAGAGCCAGGTATCCCTTCATCATTGCCGAGAACACGGACACCTTCTTGTCCTCGATCGCGTCGTAGCACACCCGAGCAAGGATCATACTTCCAAACTTCTCCGCGAACATGTTGATGATCGCGGTCCCGACTTTGGCGCTCAGCCCAATCTTCTCCTCGACTAGCCTCTGGAGCTTCTTGGCTTCATCCACTGTAATGTTCCTGGATTTCTGAGCGACGAGAACGTAAGTATCCTCGTCCGGCGGCGCTCCTTCCTTGGCCATCACATCTAAGATCTGGAGCACCGCGTTATACTTCCCGAGCCGGCAGTAGGCCTCGAGCATCGTCGTCCAAGCCTTCACGTCTGGATTCTCGATCTTGTCGAAAGCATTGCATGCCTCCTGGATGCTGCCAACTTTTGCATACATTCTCATCACCGCAAACTTGACTTCTGGATCCGAGTCGAAACCACCATCGACGAGGAGCGAGTGGACTTTTCTCGCCTCCGCGCCATCACCCAGTCCCACCGCAGCTTCCATTGCAGCGAGCAGAGAAGCCTTGTCCGGAACCACGGACTCTCTCCTCATGTAGTAGAAGAGGTCGAGAGTGTCAACGTATTCCTGGTGCTCGGTGCAAGCTGCTAGAATCTGTGCCCAGGCCGCAACGTCCTTGTTGGGAAGTTTTAAGAACGCGTCGATCTTACTTCCAAGTTCTGCAAGCTTGCGACCCGCGGGCTCCTCGGAGATGTGCCGGGGGATGATGAAGAACTTCCCCCACATCCCCGGAGGAATGGGAGCCGTGTGTGGAGTGTAAACTGGCGGCGGCACTCCACTGACTTGCCTGACGGTCGGCAAGGGCGGAGGAGTGTAGGCTGGAACAGCCACGGCGCTGGCCTGCCTGATCGTCTGCTGGAATGGAGATTGGACTTGCATACACTGGCGCCATCCTGGAAAATCCAAACGAAGAACACCAACGTTTAGAACTTGAAAAATCTAGAGAACTTCTAGAAGATGGTAGCACAGAATCAAAATGGTAGAGCAAGCAAACGAAATCAAAACGGGCAAGCAAAGGAAATCAAAATGGTAGAGCACGCAAGGAAATCAAAGTGGTAGAGCAAGCAAAGGAAATCAAAATAGTAGAGCAAGCAAAGGAAATCCGTGTGCCCACGGTAAGAAACGCTAGAAATGGAAGATCTACAAGCAAATGCTGCTTCATTCCGCTAGAATGCGACACTGGCCATCCTCTAGACCTCGAAATCCATGCCAATCGACCCTGGCAGCAGCAGGCATTGCCCGCACCGCCTATTTCCATCACAATCCCGGCAAGAAAACCTGGATAATGCGCTACAAGCTCTAGCGGCGCACATACCTCGCAAGCCAGCCCTGATCGCGCCGCGCGCCTGCCTCATTGCCCGGGCGCCCTCTCTCGCGACTAAAACCCTCGCCTAAAACCCTGGAACGCGGCGTTTTAGGGTTTATGCGATAAAGATATACCCTAGGTGGGAGTTTCAAATAGAAAGATCTTATAACCTTTAGGCTACCAATAATCTCCACAAGAACACGTGCCATCCTTTGCAAAGTGATGAAACCTCCTGTTATCCCTCACGATGATCTCCCGCTGCATCACTTTCGCAAAGAGCTTCGTCGCAGTGTGACAATCGCCGCAAACTCGCAAGTTCTTGATGATCCTCAGCGCCGTCCCTGGCGGCGTCGTGATCGAGCCATACGCGATCGCCAGCCTCTCGGAGTGATACCACAGCAATCTCTCCTTCTGATCCTCCGGAACATCGTGAAGAACATACCTCGTGTCGGGGATGTATCCCTCCTTCTTGATCAGATCGGTGAGCCTGTGGACCTCCTCATACGTTTCCTTGGTGTGAGGATGCGATCGATCGCCCGCGACGAAGCCACGAACGTTGTTCTTGACGCTGATCATGCTCTTCCCGGGCTCCTTCTTGATCGCCCTCGCCGCGATGAGCTTCCTCACTCGCTTGGCATCCTCCCACCTCGCGGGAGCTCTTCCGCCAGTGATCATCCCGCCAACGCCCAGAGGATCAGTCTTTGGATCCAGCCGCATGATCACGTCCGCGCAGCGATTCGCGCGCTCCATGTCGTTGTAGCTCCGGCAATTCCCCAGCAGCGAGTGCCAGATCCTCTCGTCCCACTCCTCCGCCGCCATCGCCCGGATGAGCTCCTCCGCCAGCGCGAGCTCTCCTCTCCTCCCCAGCGCGTCCGCCAGGCAGCCAAAGTGCTCCCTCTCGCGCGCCAGCCCGTGATCCACCGCCATATCCACGAAGAACTTCACCGCCTCCTCCATCATCCCGGCGTGCGCGCACGCCGCCAGCACGCCCACCATCGTCGCGCCGGTGGGCCGCCACCCATCCTGCTGCATCCTCGCCGCCATCGCCACCGCGCCGCGAGGATCGCCGTGCCGCCCCAGCGCGGCGATCATCGCCGACCACGCTATTGTATCCGGCCTCTCGATCTCGCCAAACACCGCGCTCGCGTCCTCCATGGATCCACACCGCGAGTACATGTCCACCAGCGCGGTCCTCACAACGTCGTCGCGGTGGAGGCCAAGATCCATCGCCGAGCAGTGAAGAGCTTTCCCTTCCTCCAGATCGGGGATGCTCGCGCAGGCGCTGATCGCCACCGCGAGAACGAGATTGTCCGCCGCCACCCTCCTCCGGATCATCTCCTGGAAGATCGCCAGCGCCTCCCTCGGCTGCTTGTTGTTCGCGTAGCCGGCGATCATCGCAGTGTACGCCGCGACGCTCTTCTGCGAGATCTTGTCGAACGCCTCCCTCGCCAGGATCATGCTCGAGAACCGCGAGAACATCCCGATCACTGCAGTGCCGATCCTGGCGCTGGCGTCTAGGCTGCGCTGCTGCTGCTCGCTCGCCAGCGCCTGGATCTTCTTGCCATCTTCCAGCGCGAGGTTCTTGCAAGTATCCAGGATGGTGATGAACGTCACCTCGTTGGGCTTCACTCCCTCGGCTTCCATCCTCTCCAGGATTTGCATCACGCTGTTGAAGCTCCCCAGCCGGCAGTAAGCTCCAATTAGAACAGTCCATGCCGCCACTCCCGGCTGGTCGATCCGATCAAACGCCCGGCAAGCGTCCTGGATGCTTCCGATCCTGGCGTACATCTTCACCACCGCGGTCCCGATCATCGAATCTCTCTCGAGCTCGCGATCCAGTACCATCGAGTGGATTCTCTTCCCCTGCGCGATATCTCCCAGCCCGATCACCGAGTCAAGCACCGTCACAAAGCAAATCCTGTCCGGCACCACGCCTTGCTCGCGCATCCGATCGAAGAGGTCCAGAGCTCCAATGTAGTCCCTGTGCTCGTTGCAAGCCGCCAGAATTTTCGTCCAGGAGACCACATCGCTGCTTGGAGCTCGAAGAAACGCCTCCAGTCGATCACCCAGATGATCCAGCTTGCTTCCCGCGATCTGGGACTGGATCCTGTACTGCTCCGCCAGGACATTCGCGGTGCCATACTTCACTCCAGGAAGAAAAGTCGAGATCGGTGGACTAGAGAGAATTTCTGGCCTAGTCGAGACCCCTCTCGATCCCTGCTGCTGCTGGCACTGCCGGAGAAATCGCCCTGGAAAGAGGAATCAGTAACAATGCAGCCCAATTGGAGTCTCGTGATCTTACCCAGCAGCCCAGCAGCAATCGATCGCGCTCGTTTCATCGCGAGGAAAAACCCTTAGGGTTCTTCATAAACCCTGGCCCCGCTCCTGGCGATTCGAACCCCTGACCGCCCGAGACTTAGTCCTGGAAGTCGAAGAAGCTAAAGACGTAGCTCTCCTCCTCGCGCTTCTCCCTGTCCCAGCCAAGGATTCTCTCGTGGATCTTCGCCATCGCCCTCTGCCCATCTCGCCCCGGCCGGCTCGATCCATACGCGGCAACCAGCTTCTCGCGGATGGCGTCGGAGATTTCCACCCGGTTCCTCACCAGCAACGCGTGGATCATCTTGCAATCCTTGAGCCCGGGGCTGGAATCCAGCGCCAGGAGGAAACTCTCTCTGTCCGGGACGATCTTGCTCAAGCACATCCGCGTGAATCCCTCGAGCGCCTTGATCCGGTGGCCGTGCGTGAGATAAGCCCGGTTCATCGCGTTCCAGGCCTGGAGATCCTTCTTATGGATCCTCTGGAAGATTTCCACCGCTTCGTCGAGAGATCCACAGCGAATTCCATACATCCTCACGAGCTCCACTGCCAGATCGAGGCGGAGATCACGGCTGCTGCTGCTAGCGCACGAGTGGATCAACCTCCCGATCGACAAATCCTCCGCGCTGCGGCAGATTCCAAGCGCAATCCGGAAGCTTGAAGGATTAAGCGGCATTCCCTCCAAGATCATCACTCGAAACATCCCCAGCGCCCGCGATAGATCCCCGTTCTTGGCAAACGCCTCGAGGCAAGCGTTCCACACCAAGACCCTGTAAAATCTCTTGACGCGATCGAACGCCTGGACGGCGGCCTCGATCTCGCCGCAATTGGAATACATCCCGATGAGCGAGATCGCAACCCCGGCGTCAAGATCATACCCGCAGCGCCGGATCGTGTCGTGGAAGAATCGCCCCAGGGAGAGATCGCGCTTCATCCCAGCGGCCTCCACGGCCATGGCGAGCATCGGCGGATCGGCCTTGAACGCCTTGAGCCGCGCGAGGTGGAGAATCTTGAGCGCCTCGTCTGGATCCCCGGCCGTGACATAGGCGCGCATGATCGCGGTGAAGGAGAGGATGTTGTGGCTGCCGAGGCCATCGAAGATCCGGCGTGCCTCGCCTGGATTGCCAAATGCCGCGTACATGAAGACGAGATCGTTGCCGACGAACCGCTCGGCCTCCATCCGGCTCCGCCGGATGTGATCGTGGACCCTGGCGCCCTCGGCCATGGCGCGCAGCCGCGTGCACAGCTGCAAGACGTGCTGATAGGAATCCACATCGAATGGCTCGTCCCTGGCATCGATGATCCTGAGAAACTCCTGAAGCTCCCGGAATTCCTCGCCACGGCTCTTCTTCCGCGCATTCCCTGCATCGTCATCCTCCTCGTCTTCTTCGAGCTTCCCGGCAGCGATCAATCGCGCTCTAGTCCTGGATGCCGCGGCTGCGGCCCATCGCCGGAGCATCCTATAATCCCTGCGGAAGAACCCTAAAAACAGAGTTAAAAGAAGAACCGTAAGGGTAAAGAAAGCCTCCCGTTAAACACCATCCTGATTCACTCTCTCTCCGCTTACCTGGCGATGACGTGGCACAGCCCTCCTTTTTGTTTTATCTCCAGCGCACTCCCTCTCCCGTCCGTCGCCGCTGCGCACTCCCGCCCGCGGCTATCGCCCGCCCGCGGCTCCCGCCCGCCCGCTCGCCCTCACGGCTCCCGCCCGCACTCCCACCCGCCCCCGCACGTCCGCCCGCGCCCAGCGTGCGCCCTAAAATTACTTCCACGTGGCCACAGCCCCAACACTTAGCCAAATTTCAATCAGCGCGCGCGTGGACGCCTTTCTACGTGCTTTACGTGCCCAATGAGTGTCATGGATGACCATTAGGAGTGGTAAACTTATGAAATCTTCTCACTAATTTAAATATATGCAATGTAAGTATATAAAGAGTTTGTTTTTTTATTTATTCTTTGCTAAGATTGAGTTTTTCGTTTAAAGAGCTTTTCTTTCTTGTTTTCCTCTGCCTAGTAAAAGGGGTTACTTCTGGACTACTCGAAGCTTTTCTTTTGCCTGTAATTCTTTCCACCAAAGGTTTTGCTCGCTTCAAGGATGTATTATAACTATCAACACGCTGTTGAAATTCTGTTGCAAGATGCTGGCCTAGCTTTAAAAGTTGCAACCTTCTGCTATATCATTTCTAAATCGTTGTCAACCATAGATAAAAAAACTTTTTCATCAGGAAAATCTTGTAAGATATCCATCATCTTTTGTTGTAATGTTGCTTTTGTAACTTTTGATGGAGTGATATCTTCCTGTTTAAAGTTCATATCAATATTTAAAATTTACTTAGTGTAAATTACCTCTATAATAGTCCTTAGCTAAATTTCTTGTTGATGCTGTATATTTTGATGGATATCTTCCTGCTCAATATTCATATATATTAGTATATAAAATATGTTAGTTTACCTCTAATGTAGTCTCCAACTGAATTTCTTGCTCATAATAAACATCTTGATGGATGTTTTCCTGCTCAAATTTTTATAAGTATTTCAAAATTTTAATTTATAAGTGAATTACCTCTGTCATAGCTTCCAAGTCAAGTGCTTCAAAATCTTGATGACGATAAAATAAATCATCTAGCCCAGGTTCTAAGATTGCATACGATTGTGATGGTTGAACCTCATAACTAGTTGTAGTCCAATTAATTTTTCTCCTTGTTTTAACATGATAACTTTTGCTTGATGTTTGCAAAAGTTTCCTTTGGTTGCCCACGGATAATTACACCAAGTCAAAAAAGCCCAATCACTGTGTCCTTCACCTCTGACAACAAAATACTATATAATTGGATCTCAAGAGGATTGTACATAGGATTTGTGAGTATTGTCCTTATCGAATTTTACTTGAGAGTTGTTAATATTTCTTGCTTTAACAATCGCACTATCGATTAGTTTTTCATATGCATGGTTTCGGATAAAACCATGATCTTTGCAATAACTAGTAAACCAGTACCTCACATGAACCTTAGTAGTAAGTTGATGAATTGCCCAATCCATCCTTCGATTGCGAGCATGTTTTTTTTCGGACGAGAGTATAGCTTTCATATTTGCATGGAATGCCTCAATCGAATTATTTATCTCCTTGTTAGCATGAGGCAAATTTTGAGCAGCAACAACCCACATATCTATCAAATATAAATTAAAATAAATTATAAAAATTAAATTATTGATTCACTTACCAACTTTGTCCTTCCATTCATCTTGAAAATACTTGATAAAGGCTACTTCATTTTGAAAATTCACCTCAAAATGTTCAATAAGTTGTTTAATCTCAGCTCGCATAATATTATCATCATGAAAAGCTGCATGAATTGAATGATACATAATATTTTGGAGGCATTTCCATATTTCCATCCTAATATCCCAAGATTTCACCTTACGAATAATATATTTGAGCCAATTCCTCCTTACATGCCAAATACATAATAGAATTTGATAATCAAATGTAGCTCTATATAGAAGAAAACAATTAAATTATTTCATATCAAATCAATTACCTTATAGCATTAATCTCTGCTTCAGCATCATCAATCATTATCACCCATGGTTTTCAATTTGGCATGTGTTCTAAAACTCGCTTTTTAAGAGCTATCATCCAATTCTTCATATGTTCTCCTTTTTCACTAGAAGTTAAAACTCATGCAATTGGAATACCATTTCCATGATAATCAAAAGCAAGCATGGTGTATAACGGGAACTGTAAATTATTAAGTATTAATTACTTAAAACTGAATGAAAATTTTACCTTATAGTGATTAGTTCCAAAAGTTGCATCAAGACTCAATAAATTATTATTTGAAAAGTTCACCATCTTTTGTAGTTGCCAAGTTGTCTGGATCCCAATAGTAAAACAATATTTACCTCGATCACCTTCCTGATAGAAAAATACTTTCTCGGGATTTGTGTTCTTCCAAATACGTACACTCTATGCGTCATTCTCATGTAATCGATAAGTTGAAAGCGAATACTTCCTATGCAAATTGTTGATATCCTGCATAGTTAGAAAATCATCTCGATGAGGAGGTTCACCAGCTGACTTGTTCCTTCCCACAATCTGTATATGCTCATTATAAATCTGATTTGATGTGAAATCCTGCTGAATCATATGAATCACCCAATGTCGAATATCTGCTGAAAGCTTCTGAGGAAATAATGGCTTTCCTCCAGTCGGATCAAGTTGACTATGACAAGGAATCCCATTCTTATCACAATGCTCTCTATGATAATATGTAATTTGAACATAATCAGGCCATTTGTAAAACTGTTTGACCAAAAAATTGCAAAGGCAGCCCCGCTTATTAGAACTTCGACCCGGTCTACTTCCATGTCCTGACTTTGGTGTAGATTCAGCAATCATAATAGAGGATGTTTCACGAGCATCTTGTTTTCCATATTCATACCAATACCTATATCAAGAAGTTAGTAATTATATTTTGTTAAAAAGATATACCTGATTAATGATAAAAAGCTTGTGTTTTTGGGTCGTTTCAAATCTCCAGGATCACGATTTTTGTTAGAAAATCGCGAAAAATCGACTCCATCACCCCTTCTCCTCTCACCATCTAGAAATTTGTTCACATCCTTCTGTAATATATACACAATAGGAGCTATAGTTTCATTTGATTTAGACAAATTCTAATCTAAATCATCTACACAAAAATAATCCTTTTCATGGAATTTTTGCACCTCATCAAGCCATGGGGGATCCTAAATGATTTTCTTGAATCAATATGAAATTGAATTGATTGCTTACCTCTGGAAATTGATGTGCTGCTGCCATGCTTGATCATAAAAGAAACAGAAACGTTTTTAGGTCAATTATGGGGCAACCATCCGGTGTGAATGGGTGGACTAGGGCACGCTGATTGAAATTTGGCTAAGTGTTGGGGCTGTGGCCACGTGGAAGTAATTTTAGGGCACACGCTGGGCGCGGGCGGACGTGCGGGGGCGGGTGGGAGTGCGGGCAGGAGCCGTGAGGGCGAGCGGACGGGCAGGAGCCGCAGGCAGGCGATAGCTGCGGGCGGGAGTGCGCAGCGGCGACGGACGGGAGAGGGAGTGCACTGGAGATAAAACAAAGAGGGCTATGCCACGTCATCGCCAGGTAAGCGGAGAGAGAGTGAATCAGGATGGTGTTTAACAGGAGGTGTAAAGAAAGAGCCTTACCAATCAATAAATTATACGTCATAAATCCATCATAAATCCACCATGTACGTCGTGCTTGCTTCGAAGGCCGGCTGCATCGACTCTTGAGGCTCATCCTCTTATTCCACAAGGATTCTCTACATTTTGTAGTATTTCATTCCTCTGCTCAGTTCAATCATCCTTAATGAAAGTGATTTTATGTGGCATGTGTAGGGGAATTATATATTTTCTTTCTAACACTAGATCTAGAGAAGGTTTGTAGCATTCTTTTAGTCTCTATGGTAGAATTAGAACTTTTTTAAAGATGGGCTAGCATATTTGTCCCGTCTAGGAGGCAGGGTAACACATTCTGACTATGAGTTGGAAGATGTTCACACTTCATTTGAATCTACAAGTTAGAGTTACATTGCAATCAAGCATTGTTTTGGCACTAAAGTCATCTTAGTGGTGGAGTGTTCCATAATAGTTTTGCATGTCACAGAGTGTAATAGGTGGCTCTAAGTTTCGTGATAGAGTCTCCTAAGAGGCTAATGACCCAATATCAACACCAGGCATTCATGTGTTCGTGCTTGTAATTTCATTAATTTCTTTGAGAATGCACTCTTAATGTTGTTTTAGTCTTTATGGGACATGGGGTCATTTCTCAAATATAATGTTGCAAAACAATTAAGAGAACAACAAAGAATAAGCTATTGGAGAACTCTTATTTGGGTAAGAATGATGTTTATATAAAATTTGGTTGTTGAGGTAAATCTCTTTCCATATTATTTCTGTATAATGTTTATTTAGCTTTATGAGTGCTTGGAATATATAAAAGGAATATAGAAAATATCTATATCAATTAGCCCAAAAACCTTAGTGTATATATAAGAGCAAGTGGTCTAGATTGAAACCAATCCAACGGCTACCAAAATCCCACTATGCTAATATTAATATATGGCATTGTAGCCATACACTTGGACCTCACATCATCCCCTCCTCTTGGAATAATGAAAGACCATTAGGGTTCTCTTGTAAATGGGCTAAAATCTAGAGGAATGTTAAGAGGAGGCATCAGTGGATTTGTATGTAGTCTTAGTTGTTCCTGATCCCTTTGTATGAAGTGTTTCAATTGTTGCACATGCACAATTTTTGGAGGTTTGGCCTACTGGACATCATGCCAAACTTCATAAACTTACGGTCCAACTTGCCATAACACCTAATATAGTTCTTTCCACTGAGCAAGGAACCCCTTAGATAAACCACGTACCGTAAGATGGGAAAAACAAACTAACACTAAATTATCCACTTTATACTCCACAGGTGGATGATGATAGGAGTTGTAGTGTCGTTGTTGTCCCACTTGTACGCGGCCTAAGTGTTCAATAGACTATGCTTGGACAAATGAAAGAATGCTCATTAAATACTGATTCCACGACTTAACATCGGCAGCTCATGGCAATTGTGAAGGTAAACCCAACTCCATTAATAATAGTGGATCATAACCATATAAAAGTTTATATGGTGAAGCACCAATAGCACCCTTGTGACATATACATACTGAAGAGATAGCAAATAACCATCCCAATTTGAATGCTGAAAGTTCACGTACTTCACGATCATTCTTTTGAATGTGCGAATGAGTCATTCCACCAAACCGTTTGATTGTGGATGATAAGCACTCGTGAAAGTGTAGTGTATCCCCAACCAAGACGTCAAAACATGAAATGCCTCAGCCATAAATGTGGGACCATTATCCGAAAGAATCCGCTTTGGACAAGAATATTGAAACACCACTCGATTGAGGAGGAAGTATCCAACAGCAGTTGCAAAGGCACTAGCAAGAGCACCAATTTCTTGTAACCTCCTGAGTTTGAACTTCCCAAGAGATCACCCAGCCCAATATTATTCAAACCCAAGGATGTTTAACCCTAAGTATCCCAAGACCCTTAACTGATTAGAAAAAAAAAAGGTGCACTCTTATTCATGGGCCTTTTCCCTCTATATTTGAACCCCTATAGATCATCTCTTGAATCATTCCCTTTGGTTGCTTACAATCTATCACGCTTCATTGCAAGTTCACACCTTCACAAATAGAAGTTGAGAGCCACAACTCTCTCGAGAGCCCTACTCTTTTGACACCTTACCCCTCAGGTCAAGCCATATTAGACCCTTGCCAGATGTCAATCAACATGTGGTGTGATTCCCTTAGCCAACCAACAGAGTCGAACTCAAGACCCCTCTGAATCCAAATGTAAGCTCCTGAGTTTGGACTTCCCAGGAAGTCACCCAGCTTAGTACTATTCAAACCCAAGGACACTTAACCTCAAGTATCCCAATACTCTTAATCGATTAGAAAAAGGGGTGCACTCTTATTCATAGGCCCTTTCCCTATGGCAATAAGAAAAGAATATCTGTAAGGACTGGCCAATAAGTAACTTTTGATACCCGAAATCACATTCGCAATAGAAGTCCATAGATTACACTTATGCTTTCTACTTGAAAACAATCCCACCTAAATCTCCCATATTCAATTCTTCTTCTACTCCTACAAAAGTGCGTGCAAAGCTATGAATGAGGCCATGTTACCAAAAAAAACTTTGTAGTTGAGATAATATCCTATGCATCTAACAACAATGGATAGTGAGTCCCATGTCACAGGGGCCTTTGGAAATGTGGAAAATACTTTTAATCACATACCAAAAAAAGCTCTCACCTTTTTTATTTGTTTGCATGCAAATCTCAATAGTGAGAATGACATCTTGAAGGCATTTTTTTTGCCACGAGCTTGGGAGAAGATGTTGAGAACTTGATCATTGAAGGAGAAGATAGTTTTGCCATCTATAGTGATAGATAATGTTTATCATGCATTAATCAAAAACTCATGAGTGATAACAATTTGTCTTGGTTGCCTTATGGGGCATCTCTTACTAATGATAAGTATATTTCATGTTTGAAGACAAAAGAGAAAGCAAAGTAAGCTAAGGCATCAAAAACAGCCTAATTGAGGAAATACAAGAGGGTATAAACTCGCAAGTGTGTTCAAATTTTTACATACCAGAAGTGCTCTTCCGCTACACAAGAAAATGGTAGTAATATAGTTACTGAAGAAATACTCAATCTAAATAATATTTGTCTCTATCCAAAAATCTTACTATACAGAAAGTAAAATTTAAAATTTTCTTCTATTTTTCAAAGCAATTTTTAAATATAGAACGCTAAAAAATTAGTAGAGTTTAGAAAAATTACTATATCCAATTTCACATAAACATCATTCTTTCTCGAATGGGTGTTTTCCACTTGAATTTTGGTTTTTGGCTATTACCGGCAAAAACCTTTTAATATAATCTAATTGTATCATTTGCAGATCATGAATTTTAACTTTTTCAAAAGTTTAGATTCAGCCTAAACAGCTGTTAAGGGATTTTGTTCTCTTTTCTATTGGTACTACCTGTTTTCCTTGCGGATCTATTTTGGCTTGTTATTTGTTTTCTCAATTTTCCAAATGCAAATTTAAAATTTTATATAACAATTTATATTATTATTTATTTTTCATTTATTCCCAAATGAGTGGTTTCACAATTGTTTGGAAACCTGTTTAGAAAGTTGTATTTAAAATTTTAAATTTACACATGTAGGGATATAAGAATAATTGGGGTTTAAACCCCTATTTATATACAAGAATGGACGGACTAAATTCAGTCCCAAATGGATAATTCATATGCTTTAATACTATAATTAATGTATTACTTATATGTATTTACAAACCTTACACTATTTATTTTAAAAAGCTCTTCTAGCAAATACATTCCTCCATCATGCACTAGAGTTCTTGCCTTAAAATCTTGTTGGCCAGTCACACGTATTCCACCATGCTGCATGCTCCTGCTGACGACAGCTTCGTGCCTTTTGAAACTCCTCCATGTAGATCTGCTCCACAAAACAGGAGCAGAACTCGTGCTTTGATATGGAGTACCTTGGATCCTTATCTATCGTTTGCGTTTTCTGATGGAAGTTGCATATAACTTCTGCATTGTCCAATATTCGGACGACTTCTCGCACTGATCTGCGGATGAAAGACATTGTTCGTCCGTTGATAAACTCCAGGAGCACCCTCTGCCAATCTTCCTCATCTTTCAAAAGTAAAGAGACTTCATGTGGCTCCAACTCAACTGGTGGAGCAAGTCTCACGGTGTCGCCCCACAACAGTCTTGATTTGCGTCCGCCTGCCTGCTTGATCCGAGCTATCTCCATGCAAGCCCCATCCAGCTCATCCAGAAACTGGGGATGGAAACCAGCCAACAAATCCATGTCCTTGGTCCGCTGCATATCACCAGTTACGACGGCTCCCAGCATGGAGTGACGAAGAAACACCTCTCTTTGTTCCTGCAGCCGGGATTTAGTTGACGAGCACGAGAAGTATAGAAACGACCAAACCTTGGTAAAACCTCCAACACAATAGATCGCTACTCGCTCCGAGTCGGCAGCCTCTGCCTGGCGCGCTTCCGGGGACACGCCCCACACGATTTTGTAAGGAGAAACGATGGCTTCGAGCGTCAACAAGGTATCTTTCATCTCTTTACAGTCCACTTTTTTTATGCCCCTGTAATCGCGAGTACCCAGAGCCTCCGCACCGTCAGCAACGAATGTAAAATCGTCACCAGCGGCTGCCCTCTCCCTGAGAAACTCTTGAAGCCTCGCTACGCTCACGCCCACCCTCCAGAGAGCCTCGAGAGCCTCGAGAACCGGCTTGTGCTCGTCCGCGCCCGAGTATGCAAAGCATAGCCCATCAAGTAGCCATCGCAGCAACACAGTCGGCGAGCTGGCCCTCTCCAAGTTCCACACGCAAACGATCACACTTTTCTCCGGACCACGCGCATAGAGCGCGGCAGCCATTGCCCTTAACCGGCAGCTTTTGCCGGTGCCCTTGGGACCGACAACAACAAGCTCTTGCCCGGGTTCGAGAGACAGGCAGTGCCACAGCAATTCATCCATGTCCGGTGACCCCACGAAAAGAAAAGAGCCTCGATTACAAGTGCCCATGCAAGGAACTATGGTCACCTGGTTGGGATTGAGTAGATCCTTGCAATTTAGCGCCTTGATCTGCTGCCAGGATTCCCCTGTATCATACCCGGCTACGCGCCGCCGTTTCCTCGCAGCCTCTGCTCTCTCCATGAATGCCCTAAACTTTTAACCCCTCATGTAGAAACCTAATTAAGATGCCAAGTACAACTTACCTTTGGTATCTCTTCTCGAGAGTGGAGCTCCTCGAAAGGGCCTCCGAGCTCTTCGATCATCGCGAAGAACTTGGCAAATCCACCCGTCCCTTTCGGGAGCTCCAGCTCGAGGCGCTCGAAGTTAAAGTTGTTCTTCCACTGCTCTGGAACCTCTGGATCTTTCCTTTGCCCCATTCCCAGAAGCCCGTCGACGTGGATCGTCACGAACGTTACCAGGATCCCGTGGTGAGCGAGCTTGAGGCAGAAGTGAATGAGAGAACTAATGTGACCCTGCGAGAGATGAGCCACCGCTACAATATGAGGCCTCCTGCAAGAAACTTTGAGCTCGTCGATCGCCATACTGGTTGAACGATCGCGAAAACACTGTTGCTGAGAGCCCCTCTTTCTCTGGCGTCAACGCAAGTTCCTCTGAACTCTGGCCTCAACACAAGTTCCTCTGAAGTTGAATCCCACGAGTGGCACGACTTTCCCTGTCGTTTGGCAAGTAAATCACTTCTTCATTCATTGATTCCCGGTGCCCGGTGTTCTACTGTAGAGAAGAACAGATGTAAAACAATGGCTCGTTAGCCCCGAGTTTATAAAGAAAACCTGTTCTTTATCCTCGGCGATTAGCCAACGGAAAAAACTCAGTGTGCCTGGAAGAAAAAAAAACATAAGGATCACATACTTTGGTCTACCTACGGAGATTGTTTTTACCAGAAAAACTTGAGCATTCGTTTCTTTGAATCCGCAGATTTCTTCCACGCTGTCGAGAGCTGCGATCATATGCTTGATCCATCTTTCCGCTCTCGCTCGGTCACTGGATACAGTCCATGGCGGCCGATCAAAGCAGGATGTCCTGTAAGTTTGGTCGTGAGAAAATTAAAAAAAAAACTCAAATGCTAAAACAAAATGAGAACGATGGAAAAGTCAAGGAAGATGAAAGAAAGAGAGGAAGCGGAGAAGGAAAGAACAAGAGAACGACTCAAGAGAAGAAAATAAACGAGGAAAAGGGAGGAAAAAGAACGCATTGCAAACCTTTGCGGCGAGAATATAATGGAGGGCCTCCCATTCTCTGGATATCATGGGCATAGACCCTGTGGATCCACCACCAAAATTGTCAAAGAGGAACTTCCTCTTGTCAAGCTAGGAACTTGGTGTGCTCTAAAAGCTCTATAACTATGACTTTTCGCTAGCAGGAACTTTCCAAATTGATAAGAAAACTAGTGGTGAGCTCATCGCTCGCACAACTCCATCTCTCGTCTTGAAAGAGCTCAATCTCTAGGAAGATTTTAGGACACTCACCTGCTGTAAAAATTCGTGGAGAGCTTGACAAAGGTCTCGTGTCCCAGCTTCTTGTCGAGATTGATCTCATCAATCTCGAATGCATCATCGTCTTGACTCACTCCATTCAACGCCGACGCTCGGTCTTGGAGCGACTGCATTGTTTGTGGATCTCTCGAATAAAAAATCTCACGAATCTACGATCAAAGAACACAAGCTTGACCCAAACGAAAGAATCGTGCTAGAACAAACCTTGGCCAAGAACTCCAAATCCTCCTCGTCTTGCTTCTTCTACCTTGCGTGGGGAAAATACTGGCAAGCTATCTCCGCCGGCAGCACCAATACGATGAAGCTCTGATATCCTTGACGGACTTGGTGGCTACGGCAGCGTCGGACTCTCCTTTGGGACTTACAATGGAGTTGCTGCTGAAGTTCATTCCTATGGCGGCAGAACCAAATCAGCTAAAGACGTTTGATCGCGGTGAGGAGACGCATGATCGCGCCATCGAATCCCCCGGATTGCCAAACATGAAGACGAGATCGTTCCGACGAATCGCTCGGCCATGGCGCGCAGCCGCGTGCACAGCTGCAAGACGTGCTGATAGGAATCCACATCGAACGGCTCATCCCTGGCTTGAGAAACTCCTGGAGCTCCCTCGCCAAGGCTCTTCCTCCCTGCATTGTCCTTCGAGCTTCCCGGCAGCGATCAATCGCGCTCTAGTCCAGGATGCCGCGGCCATTGCCGGAGCATCCGCCTGGGAGAACCCTAAAAACAGAGTTAAGGGAAGAACCCTCAAGGTAAAGGAAGAGCCCTAAAAGTAGAGGTAAAGGCCAAAAGGAGAATAAAATAGATGCGCATTATAGGGTTCTTCTTTAGCTTAAGCTATGGCGCTTCCCACTGAGAAGATCGATCGCTTGACAGTGCTCCATGGCGCGATCGTCGTCACCATGGACGGCGATCGAAATGTATACGCTTGCGGCGGCTTGGCGATGCGCGGTGACAGGATTATTGCTGTTGGTGAGGATCAGGCGATTCTGGCCGATTTTGCGAGTGGTGCGGACGACATTGTCGATCTCTCTGGTCGTTTGATCATACCTGGTGAGCTCCATTTTTCTCTCGGTTTCTCAAAATTTTCGCGGCCGGATGGGATCGGCCAGGGCTCATCAACACTCACGTACACACATCGCAGCAGCTCGGCCGGGGAATTGCCGATGATGTCGATCTTCTCACCTGGCTCCACAAGCGCATCTGGCCATACGAATCGAGCATGACGGACAGCGATTCTTTTCTCTCCACTTTGCTCTGTGGGATAGAACTCATTCGATCTGGCGTAAGTGAAATCTTCTTTCTTTGGGTTTGCTTTGCCCCTTGTTTCTTCCTCCCATGTTTTTGGCTTAATTCACGAGCTTGTTCTTCTTGTTCTTTGATGCGATCAATCACTTTCTAGGCATTCTTTCTTTTTCTTTGTGATCTTTCACATTGTTCTCTCTTTTTTTTGGTTTGGATTGTTTATATGCTTCTTTGCTGTTTATCAAACTTCTTCGATCTCTTACAGGCTTCGCGTCCTTCTTTTAGCTTTGATCTCTTACAAGAGAACTTTGCGTGTTGTTTTGTCAGGTAACTTGCTTCGCTGAAGCTGGCGGACAGCATGTACCGGCCATGGCTCGAGCAGTAGAGCTTCTGGGAATTCGTGCGTGCTTGACACGCTCAACGATGGACTCTGGGGAAGGCTTGCCGAGCTCGTGGGCAACCGAGACAACTGACTCCTGTCTCACGGTTTGCAAACTCGAGCTTTCAAGCTTATTTCGTTGGAATGATTTTCTTCTGGACTTACACAGGCCCAGGAAGAGCTATACAAGAGTTTAAATGGTAGTGCTGGGGGGCGTATACGTGTGTGGTTTGGTTTACGACAGATTATGAACGCTACCGATGCATTGCTGCTGCGTACTAAAGAAGCTGCCGACAAGTATAACACTGGAATACACATGGTATAGAAAACTGTCATTTTGTTCCTTTTGGTGATTCAAGTATGGCCGTGCACAGCATGTTTCAGAGATTCCTTACGAAAACGAGTACGTTATCAAGACAAGGGGCGTAGAGAACGGCACGGTCACCCATTTGGACAGGATTGGCGTTCTTGGAGAAAATCTCTTGGCTGCACATTCGGTATGGATCAACGAGGGAGAGGTATGTGTGCAGGTTTGAAATTTTCGAGTGCTGGAAACAAAACTGTGTGCTCTTGTACAGGTCAAAATGATGGCAAAATCCGGAGTTAAAGTGTCACATTGTCCTGCTTCCGCTATGCGCATGCTAGGATTTTGTCCCGTTCAAGAAATGCTAGAGCAAGGTGTTTGTGTCTCCATTGGAACAGACGGTGCTCCCTCAAACAACAGAATGAGCATGGGTTTGTATCGGTTGTTGTGCTACTTGACTTGATTGGCACTGATGTCATTGGCGATTTTTGCAGTGGACGAGATGTACTTAGCGTCCTTGATAAACAAAGGAAAGCTGGCTCACACCAGAGGAACAACTGATCCCACTGCATTGCCAGCGGAGACGGTTTTAGAAATGGCTACCATCAACGGAGCCAAATCCGTCCTGTGGGACAATGAAATCGGCTCTATAGAAGTCCACAAAAAGGTTGCACTTAAAACTTTTTTTTTTTCTTGTGAATTAGCTCTGACGATGTTCACAGGCTGATTTTGTAGTGATCAATCCACAGACGTGGTCGATGGTGCCTCTCCACGATCCGTAAGAAACTCGTCAGATTTCCTCAAGCTCAAAGGCTCTTTTTATCTCTCTCGTTTTTCAGGATTTCGAGCCTTGTTTACTCGATGAGGAGCGAGAACATTGAGTCAGTGATCTGTGACGGTGTCTGGATAATGCGTGACCGAAAGATACTAACAATCGAAGAGGTATTTCATTTGTATTAACTTACAGAAATCCTACACACTTTTTCCAGGCCACAATTCTCAAGACTGCGGCTCAGGCTGCCCAGGAGCTGATCCATAGAGCTGGGATCCAACTCCCGGAAAGAATGAAAGTCACGAAATAAATCTCAAAAAAAAAAAACGTAAGCATTTTTGTTCTCCAAAACTTACAAGATAGTTGTTTAGATCAAGTGCATGCAAAGCCCGGTGGAACGACCAGGCTGCAAGCAGCGATATACGTCTTCACTCTCTGGGCCATGACTGTCCCTTCGAGCAAGCTACAAAAGCAATCCAGGCTGAGGCTTCTCACGGCGACGCAGCACTGACTGGTTGGAGAATCGAGAGCTTTGCCGTCATCGATGCAAGGGAGAGATTTCTCTGGAAGATCGGGATCAGTGCAAGCCCCTCCCGCCACGACCAGCAGCGCCAAGAGAAGAAACGACACCTTGACGAAGAAGATCAGGCCAGCCATTTTCTTACACACCACCTTTCTTTCACTTACCTTGGTTTTGGCTTTGTCCTTCCAAGATTTATATCGAAACGTTCACAAGAAAAATGGAGGGCTCTTAGGTGAGTTGTAGATAAGCCTTGGCTTTGTCTTTTTACTGTATTTGTAGGATCAGTCTTTCCTGGAAGATTTCTCATTCGAAGTCAATTGGAAAAATGATCATCTTGTGTTTCTCCAGCCCATTTTTTCGATATCTTGGCAGTGTGAACAGCTGCTTGATCCATGCATCCGGTCAGCATCTTTTCATCCTTGAAAGTGATCAGAATTGCTGTGGGGCTGCTCAAAACTGCTATTGACTTCGTTGCTCAAGAGATCGAGATCAAAAGCTTCCTTGTTCTTCTTTTTCTTCTTTGGAAATCCAAGTCATTTTCTTTAAAAAGTTGCAAATTTTATATGGATTGAACTTTTCACAATATAATAGTTTTTCATTCGGAAATGAATAAATCAGAGGAATGTCAACTTATCCTTCGTTATCCCGCGCTTCCGTATGATCTCCTGCTAGATTCCTGATGAAGTCATGGATAAGAACTCTGGAGCCTGGAACAAAACGTCAATCGGATTCTCCCCGCCAATCGAGATCTTTGCTCAGCAAACCAGGGATGATATCTCCAACTTTGTCGACCACCGAGAAAGGCATCTTTTGATGTTTCTATAAGTCCCACCACACCATCACATCAGTCAACGATGGTAAGAATTTGTGTGACCGAGTCAACGTTATTTTGGAGAGTTGAAACTTTCCCATGCATCTTCGCGGCTTCAAATAGGTGAAAGCTGTAGCCAAGCATTCTGTTGAGCAGCACATTGCTGGTGGAGCTCATGTTTGAGAGAATGTTGCCCAAACTCAGGACTCTGTGTGATGTTACTCTTCTTCAGAGGAAGTGAAAATGGTGTGAATTCTAGTGTGATAGAGATGGCTGGAATCTGGATGGATATCTTGAAAACCAAAACTCCAAAAGATACCAATTGAGTTTTTCTGAAACGAGGAATCTGTGACTTTTGTGGCCCACTAAGAAGTCGATTCAATCCTGATGAGCACACGTTCAATGTTTCCTAAATGATTTCGATCACTCTTCCTTTGCCAAGCATACAAGTGTGTTCGTTTCATTTATAAAGAATCTTTCTATGTAGTGAAGTTGTAATTCAAGTTGTGCATCAAGACTAAAGAGGATGCAAGGCGGCTTAGGAGAGGATAGTTACCATCAGAATTCATCCCTTCAGGCTCAGAGCTTCAAGAATGTCCAGCCCACAATCAAGGAAATCATGGCAAACAATACACTCTTGCTTGATCCATCCTTGAAAGTGATCAGAATTGCGGACTTGGGCTGCTCAAACACAATCCACGCCATAGACTTTGTCGCTCGAGAGATCATCCAGCTGAGAGATCAAAAGCTTCCCTTTTCTTCTTCTTCGTCTTTGGAAATCCAAGCCATTTTCTCGGATACCACTGCCAATGACTTCAACACGCTCTTTTCTAAAGTTCCACATCTCCAAGGCGAGCCATACTTCTTCAGTGGAGTTCCCGGATCATTCTATCACAGACTCTTTCCTCGCTCCTCCATCCACTTTGCAATGACAAGCCATGCATTGCACTACATCTCCAAGGTAACACCTCGTTCTTTCAAAGCTCAAGCTAATCACGCTCGTCTCTTGTTAGATTCCCGATGAAATCATTGATAGAAACTCCACAGCCTGGAACAAAGATACCATGGTTATCGATCGGTTCTCTCCACCAGCAGCACTCGAGGCCTTTGCTCGGCAAGCTAGCGATGATTTCTCAAACTTTCTCCAGCACCGAGCTCAAGAAGTTGTGAGTGGAGGCATCCTTGTTACCATGTTTCCCATTCGACTCACTCAAGAGTTGATCACAGTTGATCTTACTCTTGCCCTTGAAGCATCATGGAAGGATCTCATACAAGAGGTGAGTTGACTTTCTCGGTCAATATTTGACCGTCAAATTTTGTTTAGGAGCTCTTGAGCCAGGAAAGTTTGGACACCTTCAATCTCCCAATATATGTTCGCAGCATGGAAGAAATCCAGGAAGCACTAGAACCAGTAAAGGAGTATTTCAAAGTGATTTACTCAGCAAATTTCACATATCCTCAGCCAGATCCCAAATCCTGGAATGCTACTGCAGTAGTGAAGAAGTGGAAAGCAGTGTTAGGGCGTGCAATTGGGCAGCACATTGGCAACGAAGAATTGGTTGAGCTCATGTTTAAGAGAATGGTGGCAAAGATCACGACCTTGACCATTCCCTTTGAAGTTATATTGCTTGTTCTCCAAAGGACTGAATTATAAAGAAACAAATGAAACTATCCATCTTGAAACTTACCAATAGTCTTTGATTTGTGGAGAATTATACTCCACTTTTAGATAAATGTTGGCTATCAAAACTGCCAAGTTTGTTCACTCATATAAAATATTCCTCTTAAGTTAGACTAAAGTACTATATAAATTGAAAACCATTACACCAAAGTCTTGCCACATTTAGTTAGTATTTTTTCTTCTTCTTGCAATTTAGTGGAATTTTTGGTAGATATATAATATATGAAAATAAAACAAATTACCATCAAATTCTGCAAAGTGTTTATGAATTGTAAGGTAAACAATTGTGTTCTATTTTGTAACTTTTATTACACAGTAAATTTAAAAAGTGATATTATTTTTATTTAAATATACCACACTATCTAGAAAATCTTGACAAAACAAGTTATTCTGTCATTAGATTGTTCACTTCATCTAACTACCTTTATGTTCAACAGGTTTTTTTCACCCTGTATGATATACCATATATATTTATAGCTAGATATATATTTATACCTAAATAAAATACACCACTTTGCCAAACCACACTATTAATGGTAAAATATATGTGGTCTACCAAACCATAGATGATAAACACTTGTGAAAGTGTAATGTATCCCCAATCGAGACATCAAAACATGAAATACCTCATCCATAAATACAAGACCATTATCTGAAAGAATCTATTTCAGATAAGAATGTTAGAACACCACTCGATTAAGGAGGAAGTATCTAATAGCAAATTGCAAATAAGCTAGCAAAGCACAAACTTCCATCCATAAGTCAAGTAGTCAAAAACAATAATAATATATTTATTATTAGCAATTAGTCATGGAAAATATCCCATAAAATTAAATGCCATCAACTTAAATATGGTGATGTTTTGGTTGGGGATACACCACACTTTCACGAGTGTTTATTATTCACAGTTAAATGGTTTAATGAAACGGCTCATTTGGACTTTCAAAATGGTGATCGTGAAGTACGTAAACTTTCAACATTCAAATTGAGATGTTTATTTATCGTCTTTTTGATATGTATATGTCATAGAGGTGTAGAATTTTGTTAGTGCTTCACTATATAAACTTTTATATGGTCATGATCCAATATTACCAACGGAGTTAGATTTACTTTCACAGTTGCCACGAGCTACTAATGCTAAGTCATGGGATTAGTATTTGACAAACATTCTTCCACTTGTCCAAGTAAAATCTATTGAACACTTAGGCCATGTACAAGTAGGACAATGGCACTACAACTTCTATCATCATCCATCTACGGAGTATAAAATAAATGACTTGGATTTTCCTTATTTTATGATATGTAGTTTATCTAAGGGGCTTCTTGCTCATTGGAAAAGACTGTCAGGAATCCCCCAATTCTTGCCACATTCCTGACTCTCGCCGGATTCCTGACCTGCAGACCACATTCCTGACTCTCGAGACACTTCCCGATTCCTGAGTCTCGAGCCACATTCCTGATGATGATGTGGTGCCTCCTCGACCTCAGCTATATTTAGGCCGTCCTCGATCCAAGAGTGGTGGAGCTTCATCAACCTATAGTATATATAGGTTAGCCTTGTTCCATTTCTCCACAATCTGAATCAACGCCAGTCTAAGGCCTCTTCTTTGTTTCCACTAGCTTTTCTCTTTGTCTTTTTGCATTTTCCAGTCTTGATCTTGTTAGGGGTCTTGACAGTTTGATTCAGATTGTGTTTTTTCGTTTTTTGATTTAGCTCGTTTTGATTGTTTGATTACCTTTGCCTTTTTTTCCCCCTTTTTTCTTTCTTCTTGCCAATGGAGTCTCCAAGCCATCTTGATTTCTTTGCTGAAGTCCTTGCAAAAATCCAGTCTGAGAATACCGAGCTGAAGGCGACCCTTCTTCGCATGCAGCAGGAGCTTGTTTCACTTTCGGCTCAAGGATCCAGCAAAGTTCTTGAACCGAAGGTGAGCTTCCCGGCGAAACTTTCAGGCAAGCGTTCGGAGCTTCGCGGATTCTTGAACCAGATGGAGTCGATCTTCACACTTCAACATCGGCGGTACCCTACTCCCGAGTCTCAAATCGGCGCGATTGGGACGTTGCTCGAAGGTGCAGCTTTGTCATGGTTTTCTCCTCTTCTGGAGAAGAGCATGAAAGGGGTCGTGGTTCTAGAGCTGATGGATCTTCAATTGTTCAAAGAGAAGCTCGAAGCATGTTTTGGCGAGACGGATCGGGTTCGGGCTGCTACCACAAAGATGAGACGTCTCTCTCAGGGGTCTCGTCCTGCCTTGATCTATGCTGCAGAGTTCCAACTCCTTGCTTTGGACACTCAGTGGGATGAGCGGGCCCTAATTGACCAATTTCGTTTCAGCCTCAACAACGGTGTCAAGGATTTGTTGCTCACCATGGAGGATCCCAAGGACCTGTCGGATGCCATCAACAAAGCTGTTCGATGTGACAATCGTCTCTTTGAACGTCATCAGGAAAGTCGCCGCGCCGCTGTTTTTCCGTCCCAAACTCAGGAATCCCAGTTTGAGTCTTCGGGGCATACTCCTGAACCTACTGCTCCGGTTCCGATGGATATTTCTGGTACTCCCCGACTCATTAGAGGGAAGTTGAGTCCTGCTGAGAAGCAACGTCGAATATCTCATAATCTTTGCCTCTATTGTGCTGATCCTAATCACAAAGCAACTGTATGTCCCAAGAAGCCTCCTCGACTGCTCGAGTTCACTCTGCCTCAAAGTCCACCTCTATTGCAGTCGGGAAACGACCTTGTCCAAACAGAGTAGGAGCTGTCTGTTTGGACTCCCCGAATAAAAATCACTTTTCTTCTTTATCAAGCTCCTCACCACCTTTCATCAAAGCCACCACCAATTCCCGCAACTTTCGCATCCCATGTCTCCTTTCTTTCACCGGACAATCAGGACTCAAGGCTCTGGCGTTACTGGACTCGGGTGCAACTTCCTGCTTCATGGACACGGACTTTGCTGCCCGACATCACGTTCCTCTTTCTCCTACCATACGGGATTTGAGGGTTGAAGGCATCGGCGGGCATTTTGTGTCTCCATCTTCTGGACTTAGGGAAACGTTGCCCGTTCGAGTACACATCAGGTCCACCGTCACCGATATCGCCTTCAACATCATCAACAACAAGTCCTCCTCTGTGGTTCTCGGTCTTCCTTGGTTCCAACTACATCAGCCTCAGATCTGTTGGAAGGAATTACAGCTCATCTCTCCCACGGCTTCCCCTGCTGTTCATCGAGTCCGAATCAGGAAAAGTTCCCTAAACTCAAATCGGGGTTCTGTTCCTGACTCTATAAAGTTTTCACCCTCTTCTTTTTCCTCTCTTCCATCTTCCACTGGACCGTATCCTCGTCTCATCATTCCATTTAGTCGTACGCCTCCTCCTATCTCCACAATCACTATGAAAGAACTCCTTCATGAAGAACCTCTTTTTCTTTTTGCTTTGCATGTTTCTCCTGTCAGTCTTCCTAAGAAGTATCATGATTTTGGGGATGTGTTTGACAAGAAAAAAGCTAGTGTACTGCCTGTTCATCGGCCTTATGATTGTCCCATTGATTTACAGAAAGGAGCGTCACCTCCGTGGGGGCCTATCTATAGGTTATCTCCGTCCGAGCTTAAGGCCCTCAAAGAGTACGTGGATGAGAACCTTGCCTCAGACTACATTCAGCATTCGCAGTCCCCGGCTGGAGCGCCTATCTTCTTTGTCAAGAAGAAGGATGGGAGCTTGCGGCTAGTCATCGACTACCGAGGTTTGAACAAGGTGACTGTTCGGAACCGTTATCCGCTGCCCCTGATCTCGGACCTGTTGGAACGCCTCGGCGGTGCCCGCTTCTTCACCAAGATCGACCTCCGTGGAGCATACAACCTGATCCGGATCTGGCCTGGTGATGAATGGAAGACTGCGTTCCGAACCCGCTATGGCCACTTCGAGTACATTGTCATGCCATTTGGCTTGACAAATGCTCCAGTAGTTTTCCAACACATGGCGAACGACGTCTTTCGGGAGTTTCTTGATCAGATGGTGATCGTCTACCTCGATGACATCCTCATCTACTCAAAAACTCAGGAGGAGCATGACGAACATGTTCGCAAGGTGCTAGCGAAGCTGCGAGAACACGGCCTATACGCGAAGCTTGAGAAATGTTCCTTTGATCAGCAGTCTGTGGAGTTCCTTGGGTACATTGTCACTCCTGAGGGTATCACGATGGATCCTGCCAAAGTCAAGACTATTCTCGAATGGGAGCCTCCACAATCAATGTCGGACATTCAGGTTTTCCTTGGCTTCGCCAACTTCTACCGCAAATTCATTAATCACTACTCTGATATTGTCCTTCCTCTCACACATCTCACTCGCAAGGATGTTCCCTTCTCTTGGTCTGCTGCTGCCCAGCAGGCCTTCAACACACTCAAGGCAGCCTTCAGTTCTGCTCCTATCTTGATCCATGCTGATTCCTCACAACCTTTCTTCATCGAGGCTGATGCCTCCGACTTTGCCATTGGTGCTGTGCTGTCTCAACTCGGAGCGGATCACGAACTTCATCCGGTTGCTTTCCATTCTCGGAAATTCCAGCCTGCGGAGATCAGTTACGAAATCCACGACAAGGAGCTCCTTGCCATCGTGGATTCCTTTGGAGAGTGGCGCCGTTTCTTGGAGGGGGCGAGCCATCAAACAACAGTTTGGACGGATCACAAAAATCTCGAGTACTTTGCCACTTCCCGAGTTTTAAGCCGTCGTCAAGCAAGGTGGGCACAATTCCTGAGTCGGTTTGACTTTGTTATCAAGTACAGACCTGGAAAGTTTCAAGGCCTTCCTGATGCTCTTTCAAGGCACTCCTATCTCAGTCTCAGGCCTGGTAATCCTGCCTTCGATCAACAGGATCAAGTTATCCTCAGTCCTGATCGGCTTCAAGTTATGGCAATTTCCCTGGCCCCTCAGGACTCCTCCTTGATGGATGCAATCAAAAACGATCTTCAATCCGATGATCTCGCTAGCGACATTTTCCCCCATCTTCAGGCTGGACACCCAGTGATTCCCGACTGCCGGCGATTTGACGAGTTCGAGTTCTTAGATGGCTTATTGTACCGTGGGGAGCAGCTTTACGTTCCTGAAGGTGATGCTCGAAGGTTGGTCCTGATGGCGTGCCACGATAGCCCGACTGCTGGTCACTTCGGCATTGCGAAAACCTATGAGCTAGTTGCACGGGACTTTTGGTGGCCTCACATACATCAAAGCTTTTGTTACCTCCTATGACACTTGTGTCCGGAATAAGGTACCTCGCCACCTTCCTTCAGGTTTGCTTCGTTCCCTTCCGGTCCCTTCAAGTCCTTGGGAATCCATCTCCATGGATTTCTTGAGTGATCTTCCGAGTTCTGGAGGCTTCAACAGCATTTTAGTCATGGTGGATCGCTTCACAAAGATGGCGCACTTCTTGCCATGTACCAAGGAGTTTTCGGGCGAGGACATGGCAAAACTGGTATTCAGGGAAATTTTCCGACTTCATGGGATTCCTACAGATGTGGTTTCGGATCGGGGGCCTCAGCTCATCTCTCATTTCTGGCAACGGTTTTTGCAGCTGCTTGGAGTGAAGGCCAACCTCTCTTCGGCATATCATCCTCAAACTGATGTGCAGTCCGAGTGAACGATTCAGACGTTGGAACAATTCTTGAGGTGCTTCATCAACTATCATCAGGATAACTGGTTCGATATCCTTCCCCTTGCTGAGTTCTCCTATAACAACTCTGTTCACTCCTCTCTTCGAGTTTCCCCCTTCTTTGCGAACTCTGGCCGAAATCCCCGATTCAATCTCTCACTTCCTTCTCCATCTGAATCCTCTCGTTCAAATCCCCGCTCTGAGGCATTTATCTCCAACCTCCAGGAAATCCACAACTCCATCTCCTTCCACCTCCATCGTGCTCAGGAATCTCATAAAACATTTGCCAATGTCCATCGTCAGGATTGTCCCCCTTACAATATCGGGGATAAAGTCTGGTTCCTCAGGCGAAATATCTCCACCACTAGGCCCTGTCCAAAACTCGATTTCAAACGCCTTGGTCCTTTCTCTATCATTGCCATCATTAATCCTGTCATTTATCGCCTTGCACTTCCCTCCTCATATCAAATTCACCCCGTTTTTCACTCCTCTCTCCTTGAGCCTTATATTCCCAGTCCTATTCCAAATCGGGTCATTCCTCCGCCTCCACCAGTGCAGCTCGAGGATGGGTCTGAGTATGAGGTTCAGGACATCCTTGATTCCAAGATTTCACGGTCTAAACTCTACTATCTGGTGGACTGGAAGGGTTACGGACCTGAGGAACGCACTTGGGAACCTGCAGACAACCTGATTCATTCTCCTGACCTTGTTCAGGACTTCCATTGCCGCTATCCTTTTCGTCCCAGTCCTCATTCTTTTTCTCCATCTCCCATCCCTCGCCACTCATCTCATCCTCCTCTTCGTTCTCATTCACATCCTCGTTCCACTCGTTCTTGAGGAGGGGGTGCTGTCAGGAATCCCCCAATTCTTGCCACATTCCTAACTCTCGCCGGATTCCTGACCTGCAGACCACATTCCTGACTCTCGAGACACTTCCCGATTCCTGAGTCTCGAGCCACATTCCTGATGATGATGTGGCGCCTCCTCGACCTCAGCTATATTTAGGCCGTCCTCGATCCAAGAGTGGTGGAGCTTCATCAACCTATAGTATATATAGGTTAGCCTTGTTCCATTTCTCCACAATCTGAATCAACGCCAGTCTAAGGCCTTTTCTTTGTTTCCACTAGCTTTTCTCTTTGTCTTTTTGCATTTTCCAGTCTTGATCTTGTCAGGGGTCTTGACAAAGACTATATTGGGTGTTATAGCAAGTTAAACCACAAATTTATAAAGTTTAATATGACATCTAGTAGACCAATCCTCTAGAAATTATACATGTGCAACAGTTGAAATGCTTCATACAAAGGGATTAATAACAATTGATACCATTTACAAATCTATTGATACCTCCTCTTGATATTCCTTTAGATCTTAGCCCATTTATAAGAGAACCTTGATGGCCTTTCATTATTCCAAGAGGAGGGGATGATGTGAAGTTTAAATGTATGGCTACGATGCCGTATACTAATATTAGCATAGTGGGATTTTAGTAGTTGTCACATTGGTTTCAATTTGAATCATTTGTTTCTATATATAAATTAGAGTTTTTAGGTTAATTCATTTTTTGTATTCCCTTTTCATATTTTATGCACTCACAATATCACCTAAATTATAATAAAATAAACTAAATAAAATTGAATACCTAATAAACTATATATACTTTGAAAGACTATACCCTTTGAATAAACCTATTTGTTTTAAGGTTTTTGGTTTGCTTAAGCAAACCTATAGGGGGACTGGGATGGTAGTGAATATACCTAGAATATGCTTGGATATTCTAGGATATTCTACTATCTAACGGTTGGTATTCATTTAGATTAATCTGGTATTTATAATTTATAAACATGTTTATAATTTATAAACTTTCCTAAACCCTTTCTAGTATATTCTTTTTTATTCTATCATTTAATGGTTGATATGCAATAAGATTAATCTTGTGTTTATAAATTACAAACATGCTTATAATTATAAACTTTATTTGATCAATTAGATTAATAAGTAATAATAAAACTACCATTAAGCAAACCAAGCATTGCTACATGCAATGCATAGCAATTTTTTTTAAAAATGAACTCCTTAAGAATCCACCAAAGACATGCTCAACATATCAATCATTTACTTTTTTATATCTAATTATTTTTTCTATTTAAATTTTGTTAATTTAAAATAAAATAAAATAAATAATTTATAATAAGTTCTTACAGACAATCAACCTTTAGTTTGAACTCATATTGATATCTCAAATTAATGAAAATGTTTTAGTGTGCCTATGTATATATGTATATGTACACACACACATATATATGAAATAAAATTCTACCATTAGTAATAAACTTGTCCAATGAAGTTCTGCTGAATATTATAGTTTCTACCCAGGTATTTCTAGCTTGCAGTTACAAAAATATAAACCATAATATATGTTATAGCTCATTATTTGGGCTAAATCGAGGGAAGTACTAGTGACTTTTTCTCCATTTATTTTCTTGCATTGACCAACTTGTATTTTAGTTCCTGTGAGATACACAGGCCCTGTGCAAGAAGCACGATATCTACCGAAGGGAGCAACCACCAAAGTTCCATTCATGTTGGCAATGCAAGTGCTGATAACAGCAGAAACAGATTTGGCCCCGCAGGTTGCTATCAAGTTATCATCATAATACGTGCTCATCATTAAGTTTGAGCACATCCCTAATCCACCACAAGCCTTCCACACAAGACACACAAACCCAAAGTTAAATACAAAAGCAAATTTCTTATAATTATACTTACTGCATTTGCTTGTTGAATTGCCAAAACTAAAATGAACACCAGAAGAGCAAATACATATAACATTCTCTGAGATTTGATTTGATAATATACTGTTTACATTGATATTAACAGTCTTAATTTTCTGGCTGATTTTCCGAGGATTTTTGTGTGCAGGAACGCTAACATGCCATGGAATATTCTTGGAATAGTCCCTTGGTTCGTGAATAAAATTTAAAAAAATAGCGTATATTCTAGTAGTATCGTTGGAGGTTTTTCATTTGGTCGATCCAGGGCAATGCAGCTTCTCCGGGCGCTATGGCTTCTCTCTGTGCTGCTGTTGCTACTCCTATTGCCGCTTGGGATTCACGGCTTGGAGAGCGTCGATCGCGATGCTCTAGAGGAAGAGGATTTGGATCTGGAAGACGAGGATCTCGACACAGTGGAAGGCCCCAGGAGCGATGTGTCTATGAATTTCGTGGCCGATCTCACAGATGAGAGCGCGCCGCGCGTGATTTCGTCGCGGGAGTATGTTCTTCTTCTAGGGTACGCGAGCTGGTGTAGCAGGAGCGCGGCGCTGCTGCCGGAATTCGCAGCAGCAGCATTGGATCTTGCTGGCTATGGCGATGGCAATGGCGGCATTCTCTTTGCCAAGATCGATGCCATTGCGAATCCAAAGACCGCCAAGCTCTATAATATCAAGGGATTCCCGACAGTGCTCTTCTTAGTCAATGGATCTGTCCAGCAAGCATACACGGGAGGTGACTCTAAGTCGGTAAATTTTCCTCTTTCTCGTTCTTTTGGTTCTTCCTCTTTCATGCTCTAAACTAAAAAGAGATTTTTCTGACCAGGGAGGAGATTATCGACTGGGTGAGAAAGAAAACTGGCTCGCCAGCCTCTACAGTGGTCTCAACGAAAGACGCGGAAAATTTTCTCGCGAATAGTTCTGTCATTGTGGCCGGATTTTTCGACAAATTTGAGGTGAGCTTTGTCCTCCTGCTTACGTAGTTTGCTGGATTTATCAAGTTTTGTCCAGGGAGATGACTACAAGAGCTTTATCGAAGCTGCAAAGCAGGAAGTTGGCACACCGTTTATCCAAACAAACAGCCTCAATGTGGCGCAGACTTTTCATTCGAGTATTCGTAAACCACCGATGGTGTGGATACAGAAGAATGAGCCCGAGTTTTATGTTCCTTTCGGTAAGACCAATTCTCAATCTTCATTCTCAATCGAGACAAATGCTTGTTTCAGATGGGACTTTTAGTGCACAAAATCTCCTGGATTTTGTCGAGCTCAACAAGTTCCCTGTCGTTGTAAGGATGACGTCTAAGAATGCTGCCAGAATAAACTCCAGTCCTCTTAAGCTTCAGGTTTGATTGTTTTTTTTCTTTGTGTGTCATTTTCAAATCCCTGTGCAGGTGTTACTGTTTGCAAATGAAATCGACGTGAAAACTGTGTTGCCTCTGTTTGAGGAAGCTGCAATGGCATTCAAGGGCAAGGTACTGTGCTTTGAGTCTGTTAAAAAGTTCTTGAGAGCTAGCTTATCCTTTCGCAGTTGATCTTTCTCGTGGTAGAAAACAGTGACATGGACTTTGCAATGCCATTTCTCTCGATGTACGGGGTTCAACCTGAGAAGCCTGTTGTGAGTTTTGATGTCGTTTTGTCATTTCACATTGTATCTAATACGGCCGTACAACAGATCGTTGCCTTCAACTATGACAATGGCCAAAAATTTCTTCTGGAGGAAGATATCAATCTGCAGAACATTCTGGTTCGTAATAATAGTATATTCACGAAGTGTTGCATTTCCAACAGCATTGTATGTCCAGGCTTTCTGCCAGAATTTGTTGTCTGGAGATCTTACACAACACTATAAATCAGAGCCTATCCCTTCCAAGGTACTAAGACTTTAGTCTTGGTTGTCTTGACGGTCGTGGATTTGTGCAGGACGAGGGAGATCTACGAATTGTAGTTGGGAAAACGTTCGAGAAGATTGTTCTTGATGATTCCAAAGACGTCTTTCTCCAGGTTGGATGTTTTCTTATTTTTACGTCCACTCTTTTGTCTAAGAGGCTCATGCTTTCGATCACAGATAACTAGCCCATGGTGCGGAATGTGCGAGACAGCCAACAAAACAGTAGCTAAACTCGGGACGTTTTTCAAAGGCATTCCATCCCTTGTCATAGCGCAGATTGACACATCTTCAAATGAGCACCCCAAGTTAGAGGTAATATTTTCAAAGTGTAGCCTATTCCCGTTTCTCAACTTTGTTTTTCTCCTTGATAGGTGACGACTTATCCAGCATTTTTGTTCTACCCCGCGGGCCACAAAAACCAACCTGTAAGTCCAGTTCCCTTTCAAAAACTCGGTGTAACTCCTTGCCACAGATCACCGCTCACGCAAAGACAAACTTAAAAGGCCTGGTCCAGTTTGTGAAGAAACACGCAGCCATTCCTTTTGCAATGCCAACGACACAGCACACCAAAACCAAAACGAGCTCTACATCATCACCCCCTGATAGAGACGAGCTGTAGCGAAAACTCCAACGCTACAATGTGGTAAATAGCAAAGCTGCTCTCCGGTAAGACGAGAGAAGCGGTAAGCTAAACTAACAAGCATAGCTTTTTGTTTCTTCCAAGCTTGAACAGTGGTGTGAGTTACTGCTAAACGCTTACTTCCAGAGAACGCTTACTTCAATTTGTTTTTAATTCCTCCAGAAGAAGCATGATAATAGACTCCCGAGCATGCTCACGTACAGGAGCTCGACAATCTTCTTGTCGCTGCTCAATCAAAGGCTTTTGCAGTTCACTGCATTAGCAGTATAGCCGCAAGATTCAGGACCTCGTCACAGCTGCAAAGATATAAGGTGTCCAAGGATGTCCGAGATAATGGCTTGGATCTCCAAAGAGGAAAAGGGAAACTTCTGATATCCAATGGATACCTCATCCAGGCGAAACACACTTGGATTCGGCAGTAGAGATATCTGGAAATGCGACCAACACTTAGTCCGAGAAAACAGATTTTTTAGCTACCTGCTGGGATGAATCTTCAAACATGAAACTATTAAAAGGAGGCTGCCAGCAGGAAAAAAAAAAGTTAAGAGATTGAGAAACTCATCGGTGAGAGTACCTGAGGAAAAATTCGATCGTGAAACACGTCGCGTGTGGAGGGAATCAGTATAACCCTCGCCCCTGCTCCTAGAAACTGGCAGTAATCCTCTAGCTATACACATTGAGAAACCGTGAATGGCCAAATAGGTGCGTTAGTTTTTGCGTTTCTTTTGTTTCGCTGATTTTGGTTTGTGGATTGCCAAAGTTTTACTTGGACCGAGGGCATTTCTACGACTTCACTTCCTTGGGTGTGTGAGTTTGTTTTTTGCTCTAGATTGTCATCTGATACTTCCGTTTCGTGTTCTACAGTGAGGGAGCTCGATGTTCCGGGTGTGATTCACGAGAGGAAAATCTATCCTTTCGAGTTTTCGTCAGTGGAAATGCAATATCACTCGTAACAATGGTGTCAACGTGAGGCTCAGGTATACATTCACGGCTTGGATATTTTTTTGTAATGGATTGTTTTGCCAGATATGTTCTTAAGGTGACTATAACTCGCAGCTACGTACCTAAGATTGTGGAATACTGGGTAATGAGATACTTGTGGAGAAACATTCATCGCTCTTATGTGCTTTGTTTTTACCAGGTTCGAAAACTTCTAGTGCACCCCGACGTGAACAACAGTATCAAGGTGAAAACATCGATAGTTTTCTTTTTAAAAAAGGTTTTTCTCTTTGTAGATGGAGGTCGGCATCGAGGATTGCTTGCATATCGAATTCGAGTACAGTAAGAGCAAGTGCGTTTCGAATACGTGGAAACACGCTTTGTGTCAACTGAGCGTGAGTGCTTTTTCTGTGCCAGATTCCACTTAAAGGATGTAATCGTCGGGAAGATTTACTTTCTTCTGGTCCGCATCAAGATAAAGCATATGGAGATCGAGATTAGAAAGTGCGAGTCGACCGGCTCAGGTGCCAACGCTTACAACAAAAGTGAAACACTTGCAAAGTTCGAAATCATGGATGGAGCGCCTGTCCGTGGTGAGAACTTCAAGTCTTCAAGAGCATCGGATCTCAGCACAGACGTGTACACGCACCTCTGCTTCGCGTTCGCGAGTGTCAACAGCACAACTTTCCGGGTGGAAATCCCGGTGGAGAACATCGATATTGCGCGACAGTGTACGGGCCTGGTCAAGAGCAAGAATCCGCTCATCAAGACCCTCCTCTCGATAGGTGGCACCGGGTCCAACACGACGTTCTTCTCGCAGAGGGCGAGCAACAGTTCCCGCAGGGGCGAATTTGTGCGGAGTAGCATTGCCTTGGCACGAAGTTATGGGTAAGTTAACACTATCTTCCGGAGTTCTTGGAACAATAGATCTAACTTTGTGTGATCACTTTCCAGGTTTGATGGCATGGACGTGGACTTGGAATTCCCTCACTCGCCAGCCGATATAACCAACATAGCTTCGCTCTTCTCCGAGCTCCGCCAAAGAAATCGTCTTTGAGGCACAGTCGACGTATTGCAACCGATTGCTACTCATCATCACCTGTGTCGTTCATCACCATCCTGTTTACTTTTCCCAATCTTCTCCGTTGACGGAATGGCGTTGATATTCTCAATATTAATTCGTACACGTATATCAGCAGTGACACATGCACATTAGGGTTTGAAGAGTTATTGCACAGTGGGAAATGGCGTGTGTTTAGGGTTTAGGGTTTAGGGCTAGAAAAGAGGAAAAGCTTAGAGGTAGAAGAAAAGCAGATTGTCCAGCTTCTCAGCAGCTTCAAGCTTGAAGACAATAAGAAAGTGGAGGCGAAACAGGAATTGAAGCGACTAAATGAAGGATTCAAGCACACAGTTGCAAGGTACCTAGAAGTAAGTGTGTCAGGGGTTGGCCATGGGCCCTTTGTCATTGCAGAGATTGTGTCTTACAGCTCTTGGGAAATCTAGTCTCTTTCAATGGAAACTTGTTGGAGATTGGGATTCTTTTATGAGCTCGAGGGAGGAGAGTTTGGGACAGTTTATCTCTTTGGTGACCCTTCCAGTTTGCATGAGGTGACAGCGTCATGGTTTGTTCTAGAAGTGGCAGAACAAATGGCTAACTTCTTTGCGACTCACTTTCCAGCAAAGGATGTGCCAAGGTTTCGTGAATTGGTATTTGTTACGGGTAGCACCACTTTCAAGTTAGCAAATGGATCTTGCAAAGAATCAAATGCTTCCTTTTTAAGTATTGATTATACAAAGTACCCAAAGTGTGCCATCGAGGTTGCATACAAAAATGAAGATGTGAAAACACTCAAAGCAGAGGTCAAAAGATGGGAATATACTGAGTCAAAGAAAACCTCATATGCTCTACATGTCAAGTTCAACTGCTTCTAGAAAGAAGTTAGTAAAAAGCGCAAAGACATTGATTTTAGTCCGAAGGTGTGCTCTGAGGATAATAAGGACAAATTCCATTTGAAGTTCCCATTGAGCTGGTTGTTTGCAAATGTTGAGCCGAAGCATGACTTTCTCGTGGAGTGTGATCTCCACGAACTCCAAAAGCACATTATGACTGTGCTCTTCAAAGAGTACCAGGGGAACAGGATTGTTGTTGACAGATTGCCAATGAACCCTGAGATCAATGACAGGCTTTGTTGAGACTATGGGAGAAAAATGATTCTCTGTGACAATGCCAAGGTAAATTTTCATTATAATCACTAGAACTAATTCTTTGGTTTTTGCAGTGTAAGGTTGGATGGTACTATTTGGATTGTGCTGGGTTTGCGGACCATGAACCACTTGATGACATCATCTTCTACTGTCAACAGATAATGTGGAAGTGGTACAAAACAAGGCAAGGACTCAAAATACACTGAAAATTCGTGCCATGCAGAGGTGGTGGAGACTAGATATGATCAAAGAGTGAAACTCTGTACTTCTTCCTAGAAAGACAAACCTTAATGTTGTGATCTGGCATGGACGTACATGATAAAGCACATTAGCCCTAGATGCTTCGAATATTCTCTATTTCTGTGAGCTAGAGCGCGAAAGAGCAAGGGCACGAGAGGGCAGCAGCAATGCAGAGCCTCTTTGCGGGAGCATTTGGTCAGCCGTGTGTCATCTCGATCGATCTCTCCGACATGGAGTCGCGCAAGCAGGTCTGGACTGTGCCTTTGCTCTTTCTTAATCTTTGGTCTTTCCCAGGCGAGCATCAGATGGGGATGGTGCCTCTTTTCCAGGGCCAGGAGAGTGTTAGGATCATCCTTGTTTCCCAATTTTTAGTGATTTTTTTTTTTCTGTTTAGGTGCGTATCAATCCCCTTCCCGGCTGGAAATCGAGCATCAAGGAGTGAAATACTCTACCAACTCTATCAGTGATTCCCTGCTTGACGTGTGGATGCTCGGCATCAACAAATGGTCCCATCTAGCAAAAGAGAGAGTAGAACACATGAATATCCATCTATATAACCAGCAATAGAACGTTTGGTCTTTTATTCCTCGCGTAGGATAGTAACTCCATCAAAGGCTCAAACGAAAGATTGTCACTTGTTGTAAAAGGACCTGACGCAAACGCAAGCATTAGTCAACCTCGTTGCAAATGGAGGATAGTAGGGATTGTGGCTTTGGGTGCGACCCCTCGGTGGACTGTGAATGCCGCAGGCGGGCATTTGCTGCGGAGACGATCTCAGAGGAGGGCGGGTTCCAGAAGCAGATTTATGGACGACCTTGGAGAGAACATGGAGCAAGTGGACTGCCGTGTGAACTTGGTCGTACCAAACAACGGAGAAAACACGATCTAACTGGGAAAAGCAAAAGCAGGAGCTTACCATTATCTAAGAGTACTACTCTGCAGCCGCGAGCCAACCTTGTGCTGGAGGCGAGGTGATCCAGCCCAGGACCCACCGGTGGCAGTCGTTCTTTTTGTTTGGAACGTAGACACAAAGCTCAGTTGGGTTTTGCTCCCTCGACAATTCCTAGTTCTTCTCCATGCCACAAATCTCTGTCGTGCCAGAGCAACATATCCTCTTTCCTCTCTTGCAGCAGCGACACCATGAAATTCATATTGCTAAGATATTTTTGCTCGATCTTACTTTTTTCTAGGATTTACAGCAGAGACTCTCCACGCTCTGCTCAAAAGCTTGACGCTCTTGCTCGATCATACGAAATATATACTGCTGCAACCAAAACAGATCAAACTCAACGTAGTAGTCACCCTTCACATCAGCAGTGAAAGACGACACTGGAAACTTCACCACAAAGCGCTCTCGATTCTGCTCATTGCAAAACTCGGGCCCAAACTGGATCTCCATCCCATCGTTGCCTCTCTCCCTGGCTACAAACGTAAAGTCGTCACCAGGCCGCGCAATCTTCACCCCGATCGCCACCAAGCAGCCCGACTCCACCCACAGATCCAAAACCTCCCTTAAAACTTCCAGTGGCTCGTTCTTGTACGCCACCTCCAACACCGCCCGCGCTGGCTGCGCAAGCGACGACCCAGAGAAGAAGCAAGCGTCCGGCTCCTTGTCGCCAGAGATGGTCCGCAGGCGAGACGCTCCAGCGCCAGTGATCATTTGTGGAAGAGAGGCTAGCCCAATGCCCGGAATCTGGAGGATGTGAAAGATGATGGAGCGCTCTAGCGCAGATGACACGGTGCTGTGGACTATTGACGGATCCCCATAGGCCAAAACCTCACCCCTCCTGTACTCTAGCCTCCAAGTCGAGTCGCAGCTACACATCCAGGCGTCGTACACCACCCATGGGACATTTGTGGCCACGAGAAATGGCCCCCGCTGCCCTCTGCTGTAGGCGGCAATCGCTTGCTTCGATAAAGCGTCCATGAAACGCTACAAATCGCTTGCCCTAAAGTTCGAATCAAGGGGAATGGCACATTCCAGAGGGGAGAATTCATATCATTGTTACAATGTCAGTGCCAAATTAGCTGTCATGAAGGAGAATTCGTCGACTCTTAGAAGTGGGAAATTCTTCGATGCATATTCAGGCATGTAACGCTCTTTGGATTGATCCCGGCCACAGGAAATCTTTGGGGGGGGTTTAAGGTTTAAACCCTAAACCCTAAACCCTAAACAACCTCGGGCCATCATATAGTGAGTCTAAGGTCTTCAAAGACTTGCTTCTCGTGGTAGTCAACAAAAAGCGGGAGATACTGTTCAGATGGAGGTCTGTGGATTTTGACTTGGAGCGTGAGATCCAATTTGGAACTGACTCTTCTCGAAGTTCCCAGGGCTTCGTCTACACGTTCCCAGCTCATTACTTCTCTATGGACTTGCCGGAGGGCTCGAGCTTTACATTCGACCAGTTTGACCTTCAACAACACGTCTTGTGTAAGCTCGACTAGCAGCTGGCTGCAAACCGTGCAGACATCGAGTCTCCACTTGTGGATGCGGCTCTGTATTGCACCATCTGTACTTGCAAGAAACGGGAGAGTGCTCGAGGCAAGGTAATCACGTGCTGCTACAGGGATTGTGACATCGTAAGGTTTCATTGCGAGTGTGTTGGAGTAAGCTCCCAGGGAGAGCTCCTGCCCCTGGTTCTGTGACAACTGCGATCAAATCTGAGAGGACATCAAGGAACACGTAAGCAGGCAGGAGAAGAAAGAAGCTGGGCAAGATAAAACTTATCGCAAGTGATGCAAGTGATGGAGATTTTACTTCTTTGTTCTGAAAGCTTACATTCTTATAAGTTTCATTCCCATTAGGGGTTTTTCATTTGTTCCAGCTTCTGTGTTAGAGCCACGTGGCGTACAGCCACCTGGCTTGAGTTGCATTCCTTCAGTTTAGGGCTTTCTTAGTTTTCTTTCCCATCCTGTGTGAAATCCATCCTAGGGGATTGTTCGGGGAGTGTTCTCATTCTCTATAGAGTGCTAGGCCATGAGGCTTGGCTTCTCTCATCATGGTATCAAAGCAATAGGTTAGATTTTTTTTTTTTTTTGGCACAAGCAGTGCCATAGATGCTAGGACAGGATGGCATCATTTTTTTCCTCCAAGCAGTTCGATAGGATGAATCATCTTGCCTGGAAAGAATGTGCATAGTTCTGGTTTATGAGGTGGGGATTCTAACCTATGGTATCTAGATTGAGAAAATGCCCGTCTAAGGACAATGATGATACAGATCCATACAACAAGTGGAAAGACCTGGATGCTAGGGCAAATGGAGCATTAGGAGGAGGACTTGGCCCTCTCTACAGTGTCCACATGAATGTGGAGAAGAGTTCTGCTGAGAATTGGAAGTCAATTTGTGAAATTATGGGAGTGGACTTTCAAGAAGATGGTGGACGTGATTCTTTGTTACAGTGAGCTATACAGTCTATAGCAGCAGCCACACGAGCATGTGCATTAACTCGTTGTATGGATTTGTGTCATCATCATCCTTGGATGGGCATTTTCTCAATCCAGATACCACAAACCAAAATCCCCACCTCATAAACCAGAACTGTGCACATTCTTTCCAGGCAAGGAAATTTGTCTCATCGAACTGCTCCATGTCTCTGGAGGAAGAAGACAACGCCATCCTGTCTTAGCATCTATGGCACTGCTCGTGCCAAAAAAAAATATAACCTATTGCTTTGATATCAGGTTCAGATACCAGAGGCTTGGACTGGGCAACGTCCACACATGGATATCTTATGGCAGTTTGGCTGTTTAGCTTTTTCTCATGTTCCTAATGAACTACGCAGGACATTGGATGTTAAATCCAAGAAGTGTGTATTTATGGGCTATAGTGATGAGCAGCGAGGATACCGACTCCTTCATCTAGACTCGGGAAAAGAGTTTGTGAGTTGAGATGTCATCTTTGATGAATCTTATGTGTATTTTCAACGTCACAAGGATCCAGGAGTTCTACAGGTTTTCTTTGTGGAGAAAGTAAGGGCGAGCTCACAGCCTGTTTTCTTTCATCCATGGGAAGATGAGGAGGATGATCCTCTACCTCGACTTGGCTGTGCTTATGCTCCAGCTGCAGGGGGGGCTTCAACCTCTGCTGTGACACGAGCTCCAGAGCCTGATCACGTTCCTGAGGTGGTTCCTGATCCTGAGCCCGAGCACAATATACCTGAACCTGAGGATATGGTTCCTGAACCCGTGCATCACCGAGATCCTGATCTTATCCAGGTTTTGAGCTGCTCTGGTCGCCCTTTAACCTATACAGCGAAGGGTGGAGCTTATCAGTGAGAGCAAGCTGAGAAGCGAGCACGAGCAGCTGCTAGAGCTTCTTACATCAGAGTCAAATGGCTATATTCACAGCAGCAGAGGTGAAGATTCCTGTTACGCTTGCACAAGCTAAGAAATCTCCTTATGCTGCTGCATGGGGTGATGCTATTGATGCTGAGATGTGAGCTCATGCAACAAATGAAACCTGGTATCTTCCTGATGAAGTTCCTGACAATGCTAATGTAGTTTCGACAAAGCTACTTTTCTGCGTGAAAGCTGGACCTTCAGGAGAAGTGCAGCGCTTTAAAGCTAGGATTGTGGCACGAGGCTTTACTCAGATCGAAGGCATAGACTTTACAGAAACTTTCAGCCCGGTCGTGAAGATGGCTTCTATCAGGCTGTTACTTGCTTTATGATCTTTATGTGGAGCAAATGGATGTGAAGACTGCATTTTTACATGGAGAAATTCCTGAGAAGGTTTACATCCAGCTCCTGACAGGCCTCGATCCGAGCCAAAGGATTTATCGGCTGAAGAAGGCTTTATACGGCCTGAAACAAAGTCCACGCATCTGGTATAAGAAAATTGATTCTTTTCTGATTTCTCTTGGATTCCAGAAAAACCATGCCAACTCAAACGTTTATATGAAGATTGAGGATGGTGCCTTGGTCATTTTGGCCTTGTATATGGACGATGGTATCTTTGTTTCCAACAACAGAGATCTTCTTGCTGAAATCAAGAGAAAGCTAGGAGCCCAGTTTGAGATGCAAGATCTTGGCCCCGTGCACACTTTCCTTGGGATTCAAGTTCAGCGACCACAGCCAGGAGTTGTGACACTCTCACAACGAGCTTATGTGGAGGAAGTATTGCGCAGGTTTGGGCTTGAGAACCTCAACCCTTCTGTTACTCCAATGCAAGCGAGTAGTCATTTGTCTGCTGAGATGTCTCCTAGTGAGGCTGAGCTTGTGCCATATCGCCAGGTAGTTGGATGCTTAATCTACTTGGCCGTTTGTACCCGCCCAGACATTGCTTATTCTGTGGGAGAGGTGGCTAAGTATATGGCGAATCCAGCCTAGCAACATTGGCAAGCTATCTTGCGCTATCTCAGAGGCACTGCTAATTTTGGCCTGAGCTATCAACGGCAGGTTTCTGGTCACGCATTTATTTTGCGAGGCTATGCCGATGCAGATAATGCAGGGGATCCAGCTATTGCTTTTTCCTTGGTGATGGAGTGGTAACTTGGAGCAGCAAGCGGCAAGCTGTGACAGCCTTGTTAACAACTGAAGCGGAGTATCTAGCTTTGACAGGGGCAGCACAAGAGGTGAGCTGGCTTCGTGAGCTTGTAGGGAGTATGCAGTTAGGATAATCAATTGGTGATTGCTCTTTATGAGAATTTAAGATATCACACCAAGATGAAGCATATACAAATAAAATACCACTACATCATACATCAGAGAACAAGTGATGGGAGGAGAGTTGACACTTAAAAGTACATGGCAATTGAGGACTAGGTTGCTGATATATTCACTAAGGCTCTTCCACCTATTATTTTCTGCAAACATCTAGAAGTGCTTGGAGTATGCAACCTGTCCTTGCATCCAGCATTTTTGTTCTACCCCGCGGGCCAGAAAAACCAACCTGTAAGTCCAATTCCCTTTTACAAACTCGGTGTAACTCCTTGCCACAGATCACCGCTCACGCAAAGACAAACTTAAAAGACCTGGTCCAGTTTGTGAAGAAACACGCAGCCATTCCTTTTGCAATGCCAACGACACAACACACCAAAACCAAAACGAGCTCTACAGACGAGCTGTAGCGAAAACTCCAACGGTGCAATGTGGTAAATAGCAAAGCTGCTCTCCGGTAAAACGAGAGAAGCGGTAAGCTAAACTACAAGCATAGCTTTTTGTTTCTTCCAAGCTTGAACAGTGGTGTGAGTTACTGCTAAACGCTTGCTTCCAGAGAACGCTTGCTTCAATTTGTTTCTAATTCCTCCAGAAGAAGCATGATAGTAAACTCCCGAGCATGCTCGCGTACAGGAGCTCGAGTCGCTGCTCAATCAAAGGCTTTTCCAGTTCACTGCATTCGCAAGATTAAGGACCTCGTCACAGCTGCGAAGATATAAGGTGTGTCCGAGATAATGAGGAAGAAGGAAACTTCTGATATCTTTCAACCTCCATAACCTTCAGCATAAACATTTAAGAACATACGAATCGTTTGAAACAAAGTCTTACCACGCTGTGCTTGTCAAATCTTAATGAAGGAAAGTTTTGCTCTAGCTCCAATGCTGCTTAGTTGAGGAGTGCTTGGCAGTGTCACCATAGCTTCCACAAACGTCCCTCCCATTGCCCCTTTTGCCAGTCGACCGGGATTTACAAGCAGCGTAGTGAGGTTCTCTGTGCGTGGCTGGGACTCGTCTAGCTTCACACCAGGCGTGTAGCTTAAAGACTGCAGAAGAAAAATCATGAAAATCGCGTCAGTGAGATACTTGGAACTTCTACCTTGACGAAAGGGACCAAGTCCGACGATAGAACGATGATATCTGGCGTGCAAGGGAGGTCCAAAGCACTGGGATTGACAGCCAGGTCCAAACAAGTGCCTAACGCTGGCGGAAACAATGGATAAAAGCTGGACAAAAAGCAATACAAGAGTCAGTGTTAAGGTAGATTTTTGGAGCAAGCTTTGATACCTTCTTTGGCCAACAAGCTGTGCTCCCAGCCTCGACATTCTATCGCTGGAGGTGCCCGGTGGATTTCGAGCCGCTTCTTCACTGCTTAGATGTCTAAGGATATCTGTTGTGCAGCAGCCAATGGATACCTCATCCAGGCGAAACACACTTGGATTCGGCAGTAGAGATATCTGGAAATGCGACCAAAACTTAGTCCGAGAAAACAGATTTTTTAGGTACCTGCTGGGATGAATCTTCAAACATGAAACTATTAAAAGGAGGCTGCCAACAGGAAAAAAAAAAACAAGTTAAGAGATTGAGAAACTCATCGGTGAGAGTACCTGAGGAAAAATTCGATCGTGAAACACGTCGCGTGTGGAGGGAATCAGTATAACCCTCGCCCCTGCTCCTAGAAACTGGCAGTAATCCTCTAGCTACACATTGAGAAACCGTGAATTGGTGGACAGCAACATATGAAGCAAAGAGTACGAACCCGTGTCGTTATCTCCTCTTGAAATACATGAGATAAAACTCTATCAGTGATTCCCTGCTTGACGTGGGGATGCTCGGCATCAACAAATGGTCCCATCTAGCAAAAGAGAGAGTAGAACACATGAATATCCATCTACATAAAATTCTCTCACCAGCAATAGAACGTTTGGTCTTTTATTCCTAGCGTAGGCTAGTAACTCCATCAAAGGCTCAAACGAAAGATTGTCACTTGTTGTAAAAGGACCTGACGCAACAATCTATAAACGCAAGGATTAGTGAACCTCATTGCAAGCATTCCATGCAGACCATGTGTAGCGGTTGTGGTGTCTGGGTCTTCACTGTAAGATTTGTTGCTTGCCTCTTTGCAAGAGGATTATCATCCGGCGCCGAATGAGGAGGAAGTGGTAAAGAGTAAAAGATCCGGCTAGCAACAAGGCAATGCCCGCTCGGATTGTGTCCTTCCACCACAAGTATCTGGAATGCAAAATCGCACTTTGCGACGATAAAAGGAAACTCTAGTACCTGGCCCGGGAAAAGTGAAAACTGGCTTATCTCACGAAGATCCAAACGGACTCGATGCCCCCCAGAGTACTCAACGCTGTTTTAAGCTCTTGTTAGTGAAACAAGCTTAAACGAAATTGGAGCTCGCACCTGCCTTCCAGCAAAACAGCGTTGGGATCTGCTTCTTCTGTATCGTAGCAAACTCTTCCAACAACGAGAATCTTTTCCTGAAACCGTACGTCGATAAAACTTGGAGCCATCACATACAGGTAACTCACCTGAGATGCATAGGCAACATGCTGCGACAGCGGCACAGATTCGTATTCTGAAAATGCTTGGACAAACTTTTTGATCCTTCTCTCGAGTTCGTTGAACTGCAGAACAAATTTTCAAAAGGACCGATCCTGGAAATAAGGGAAAACATTACCCTGCTTTCGACTTGATCAGCCATGTATCTGCAACCTGGCTTGAGCCCAGTGCTAAGCTCCTCGAGCTGACACCTTCGTACGTCTTTCAGCTTGCGTAGAACCAGATCTTCGGATTGCTGGATATCATCCACTGCACTCGAACTAGCGTCGGGAAGGTGATCGTTGAAAACAAACTGGACAGTGCACTTGGTTGTACGTTGGCTGAAAGGCGTCGTCGGACTGGGAACTTGTCTGGGAGTGACTTTAACCCGTGGTTGCGGCGGCGTAATGTATTGAGCTTCTCGAGAGCCTACCACTTTGTTGGGCGTCTTGCTATCCACAAGCATTGCATCCGCAGTGAAGAATCTGTCCCGCTGTGATAGGTAAGCGTCGATAGAAAAAAAAGAGAACACGAACACTCTTACGTATCCAAATCATCCTTCGTGTAGATGTGCATCCCCCCATGCTCACGAATGAAATCGTTTCGCTGCTGAGTTTGTAGAAAAACTCGAAACTTGTCGATGTGAGAGTTTAGTAGTGTATTTTTCTCCAGCTGCCTGAATCCATAAAAGCATTAGTATTCATTTTCACAAAGGGAAACAATTTGTAACACAAAGAACGATAAGAAGAAGAATAGACTGAGGAATGAATCGTTATGAGAACATAAACACGGAAAAAAAAAAAAAGAAGAGATGAATAGAACAAACAAGGAACACTCTCACACAAACAAAAGCAAGGAAATCCACACACATACTCACACACTCACAAAAGAATAGAGTGAGCAAGGAAATCCAAGGAAATCCACACACACATTCACACACTCACAAAAGAATAGAAATGAGCAAGGCACACAAAGGAAGATCCACACACACTACTCACAGATAATGCGAGGGAGAAAACCACTAGGAAAGAAGAAACTCACGAGTTGAGGTAGAACACCTCCCAGTGCTCCACTAGAGTCGAGGGCTTCAATCCAAAGCTCGAGCAAAGCGACACGCCTAAAGGAAGAAAAAAGATCCAACACGATCATGAGGAGAATGTAGCTACACTGGAGCGCACTTACATTGCCGGATGGTGTCCGCATTCTCCAGCGCGAAATTATTCTCCTGGAACACGCGGCCAATCTCTTCCTCCATCGCGACTTCTTGAAAACCCTAAACCTCTCTAGGGAGCTTGTGGATCTTGTCTAGGGCCTTCTTGGACGCCCCGGCTTCTTGGAGGAGTGGAATCGCCTTGGCAGGATCGCGCCGCGCCATGGCCATCTTCAATGCGTCCTCCGCGGCCTGGAGATCCTTCTCTCGCAACGAACGCGACGGCGATAGCTGGGTTTGGTCCCCAGCTGCCAGCGCCAATTGCCGGTTGGCTCTCAGGGTCTCCGATGCCGCGATTGCCCTGTCGATCGCGCGCATTAGCGCATCTGGATTGGGGATCGCGCCTCCTCCTCCAGGCATCGCGGGAGTTCTTCCTCCCTAGGGCTCGAAGCTCGCGTGGCAAGGTATATACCAGGCGAATCTAGGCTTCTCTCACGTGGCATGCGTACCAACCACCGTCTCGACGCTCAAGAACACGAGCAGCATCTCCAGCCATGGCGATGCTCGCGAGGATTTTCACGAAGAAAAATCCTGACGCGGGTGGTGGTGAGGATGAAGCACCAAAAAAGGTAGTGGAAGCTTTTCTTCTTCGTGTTTTCGCTACATTTTTCTTGTTCTTCTGGGCATTGAGTTTTTTCGTGTGTGCCAATGCAGAGACAAACAATGCTCGCTAGAGTTTTCACGAGAAAAGCAGCTGCTGAGAAGCCTGTTATACCCTCAAAACCCAAGGTTGGTTCTTTTGGCTCTGGAAATCTCTAAACCTCCGATCGGATGTTCTTCTTTTCTTTTCTTTTCTTTTTTTTTTGTTTTTTGGTTTGCAGGTGTGGCTTGGGCAGTGTAAGATCGAGGAGTTTGAGCTCGGGCGTGTCCTGGGGACTGGCAGCTTTGGCCGCGTCCAAGTAGCACACCACAAGGCCAACAAGCAAGTTTGTGCTGTTAAGTCTTTGTCAAAGGCGTCTATTGTCAAGACAAAGCAGGCATGTGAACACTCCTTCCGTGATTAGTCATGTAAACAGGTTCTGTGGTTTCTGTTTGTTTGGTATTTAGACTTTCAGCGTCTGATCGTTTTCACAGGTTGCTCATGTGATGGCAGAGAAGAACATTCTTCAGAGGCTTGACTTCCCGTACATTGTTAATCTGCTGGGATATTGCCAAGACGACAGATGTGTCCACCTCGTCATGGAATACGTTTGCGGGTAACTTCTTTTTCTTTTTGAGCTGAGAAGCGTTTGATCCAAGTGTTGATGAACAGCGGTGAGTTTTTTACTTATCTTCGCCACACGGGTCGATTTGATGAAGCAACATCTGTAAGTGAAAATGATGTCTAAGATTTTGAAGTGGTGGTGGCCATCTCAGTTCTTCTTTTAATATCTTTTCAGAGATTCTATGCTTCTCAAGTTCTTCTCGCCTTCGAACATATCCATGGAATGGATATTATCTATCGTGACTTGAAGGTTCTTGCGTGCGTATGTCGCTAGTGATTATATTTCTAACATGTGGATGTACTCAGCCTGAAAATTTGCTTCTTGACGAGAAGGGAAACATTAAGATAGCCGACTTTGGTTTTGCAAAGCAAATTGACAGAAGAACGTATACTCTATGCGGTATGTGGTTTGCAAACTTGCCGTAACTATCTTTAACTATCTCTTTGAAGGACTTTGCAACAGGAACGCCTGACTATTTGGCTCCAGAGATCATTCTCAACAAAGGTCACGGAAAACCTGTTGACTGGTAACGCTTGTTTTTCAGTTTTTTTTCTCTCGCAAATTATCATAAGCTCACTAAGCTTTCCTTCAGGTGGGCCTTTGGCGTTTTGATTTACGAGATGCTCGCAGGGTATCCTCCATTCTACGATGATGGTTAGCTCTCGAATAACTCACATAAATTCATCAAAACGGTATACATGGCGCTTCAGTTTTACTCATTGTACCATATAAACCCGCCATGGTTGTTGCAGATGCTATTGGAACATATCAGAAGATCTTAGCGGGTAAATTACAATTTCCAGGACACTTTTCCCGCAGGCAGGTTTCTTTTAATCTACTATCACTTCCGCTTTAGGATTGAGCTCAATTGTAGACATCCTGCAGTGCGAAGGATCTCGTAAGAAGGCTTCTCACTGCAGATCTCACCAAGCGGTACTGCAAGCACTCATTATTCCGTTGACGCTTACATTGTCTTTTTACAGGATTGGCTGTCTGAAGGATGGTGTGGATGAAATAAAAAATCATTCTTGGTTTGCGAACGTGAAGTGGGACAATGTCCTTGCTAAAAAAGACACTCCGCCAATAAGGCCGAAAGTAGCGGTATGTCTTTATTTTCTCATTTAGACTTCGGTACGATCTATGCATGGACACTGCAGGGCTTGGATGATACAAGCAATTTTGAGGACTATTCGAAACTGGAGCCGATGCACCATGAATTCGAGCTATCAGCGGAAGAGCAAGAACTGTTCAAAGACTTGTAAGAGATCATTTTTTGGTTTCTGTATTTTGTTTGTACAAATTGGCAAACTGCTGCTCAACCCGTACTTAGCTGTTGGGAGTGATTGCACCAAAAAAAAAAACGTGCTTGCTTCCTTCCTGTTAGTACTGGTGGTCCCGTGTACGCAACGCAACATCTGCTGGCCTAATTGGGATATGTGCTCGTAAGCTTTGCTTTGCATTTTTGTTATCATCTTTTTCTTGTTTACTAAGTTCTTTAATCGATAACACAGCTTGCACGGGCAAATCCAACTCGCGACCTTTGGATATCGTATTCGACCCACAAGTTCTGTTGCTGATAGTTCCCAATGACGTTAACGGGATTCGGTCCCCCATCTTCGAACGCGAAACACATCTTAACATGATTCTGGTACCGAGCAACAGGGAGAAGAACACCGATGGACGGGATTCCGATCGTAACTCCGTCTTCGAAAACCAGGGACAGAGATGGAAGAGTCCGATGAAGCTCGTCAATGTCGTCGTTGGAAACTTTGAAACATGTGCCGAGATCACCGAAAGAATCTCCCTCGAGATGTTTGAGACTCGGCGGCCGATGTTTCAAGAATGCTTCTCTCAGCTGGCTATGGAAAGGACGCACAAAACTTGAGAAACTGGAGCCAGAGTCGAGAATGACAACGGAACCCCGTGGTAAGAGCACAAGCTCGTGGCTGTTAATACTCACTCCTTTCAGTGCTACGTGATAGAACTTCCTCTGGAGCTCGGAGTTTGTGAGAGCAACGGACGTGTACTGAACTTGCTCGTGAGGAAGCTCTGCGTTCCCGAAGAAAACAACGCCGGTGGAATTCAAGTGCGAGCTCCTGTCGGGAAAGCAGTGAGAAAACTTCCAACCAAACCGCTGGCCGAGCTGCATTGGAAGAGCCATCTTTCCAGCATTTAAGCCCAGGATACCAGACGCTCCAGTCGGAACGAGCTCCAAGTCGCCCTGTGCGCAGCCGAAAGCAAAGTCCTGCACAGTTACAGGTTTTCCTCCGACGACTGTCTCCATTATGAGAGTGTCGGTCGACAAGCTCCCGTAGCTGAAGCTCCCGTCTCCGTAGAAGGCAGCGAACTGGCACTGGCTTCCTCGAGCGCAGTAAGCGTAAGTTCCTTGGCTGCTGTTCGAACATAGCTGACTGTTGTTACAGGTGACTGGCTTGTACGAGACTGAGCGAGCAGCGTCGTAGATGGTGTCTACTGAAGGAGCACAGACCTTGCAAGGCAGACACTTGAGCCAAGTCAGCTCGCTGCCCGTGTCGACGATGAGGATGGCTTCCTGGCCCGGCGAGCCGAGCTTGATACTCGTGTAGTACTCACCGAATTTCCGTCCGAGAGTGGTGGTGGAGCTCCGGAGGGCCGCGGGGTTCTTCGTGTGCTGCTGAAAGATGTGAGCGGAGTATGGAAAAAGAGACTTTTGAGCAGCGGAGCTGGGGCTAGGATTGGCTTTCACTCGGAATTGAGGTGCTGCGACATGGATGGCTTTGAATCCGATCCCTCCGCCTCGAGCGGCGGAGTCTCGCAGCACCAACTTGGCATCGATCGAAGCAGTAGCAACGGGAGAAGCATCGGAAATCCAGCACAGTAGCAGCAGCAGTAACAGGATCATCATTGAGGAGTGGAGAGGAGATCCAGGGCGCTTCTCGAAAGCTCTCGCTGGCGGGACTTTTATGTTCTCCGCCAAATGGTTGGCAACAAAGGAAGGACTTTGGGACCCAGAAGAACACGTCCGGGGCTTCCAGAATCAACGTTTCAACTAACTTGGCAGTGGTAAGAGCAGTGAAGTAAGATCGCTCATACTTAATGCGCTTGTGTCGTGTTCTCTGTTCTAGGAGCCTACGAGTTTGGATCGAATTCGTTAGCAATCTCAGAAAGATCCCAGTAAGAAGTAGTCAATTGGATCTTGTGATTGGTTTTTTTTTTTTTTTTTTCAAGCGAAAAATAAGAGGAAGAAGAAGAGAAGAAGCGAGCTCTGGAAATTGGATTGGAATGGTGGATGATGCTATAGCCGACACTATAGAATGGAAGTCTCCTTTAAATTGTTTACTGGCATTGTTATGTATGGAAGTCTCTTATTTCGCTATAATGAGGTGTTCTTTGATGTCAATGGGCCACATTAGGGTTTTCAAATGCCGCGACGAGGAAGAGGAGGTGAGCGAGGGAGCTCGATTCGTCCTCGGCCATGGCAGATCGGTTAGTCGCGGCGTTATTGCCTTGTCCAGTGGCGGCGTCTTGCTCGTCTTCCGCCGCGCCAGTATCGTCGTCGTCGCATTGTTGCCTAGTTGCCCGGTCCAATTCGCATCGCAATTGGACTCGCTCGTTGCGCTTGGATCGGTCGTCGTTGCAGGGCCAGAGATTGGAGCTCCTGCAGTGCTGCTGGCAGCGAAGGACGAGATCTCGGCTATTAAAGGTACTGTCTGATTGTGTGTGGGTGGACTTGGTATAGTTTTTATCCTTTGTTTTCTCTTTTCCAGGTGAATGCCGCGAGAGGACCCGACGATGGAGTTAAGTGGTGGGAGAAGGACGGCGGTCCAAACATGAGGGACGTCCACTCCACGCAGGAGTTCATCGATGCGCTTGGGAGTGTTGGAGACAAGCTTGTCATCGTGGAGTTTTTCGCGACATGGTGTGGTTCTTGCAGAGCTCTCTATCCCAAGGTATGCTTAACCTTTCGCTCGTCCATTTTCCAGAAATCTTTTTCTGTTTTCGCACAGCTTTGTAAGCTTGCTGAGGAACACAGAGACATAGAGTTCATCAAAGTGAATTTTGAGGAGAACAAGCCGATGTGCAAGCGCCTAGACATCAAAGTGTTGCCTTATTTCCATTTTTACCGGGGGGCTGAGGGTCGTGTTGATGCCTTTTCCTGCTCATTGGCCAAGGTAAGACAGGGTGTCTAGCGTCTTTTCGTTTCGCTCTAAGGTGGTATGCTTTGTTCTTGCAGTTACAAAAGCTGAGAGATGCGATACAACTACACAACTCAGATCGGTGCAGCCTCGGGCCAACGCTTGGCGTTGGTGATTTGTTAAGTTCCTTGGCAAACACAAACACCCCTGATCAGGCTGCTACTGCTACTAGATAGTGTGATTCTTTCTTCGTTTTGAGGTGAAGAAAGAGAGGGAAAACAGATGAATGGATCATTTGGAAAACTAAACGATTTGCATTTCACAGATTGGACGACTCCTCGAGCACCTCAAAGACAAGCAAGAAGCAGCCGAAGTAAAGCTAAGCAAGTTCACTATCTCGCTTCTATAAATATAACAACATTTTTTTCTGGCAAACTCTTCCTTGTTTATTACATACACATTCGGACGATCGCGCTCTCAGCTCGCCTGCTTCAAAAATATGCTGAAGAGATCATCCTGGTTAGCGCTACCGCTACCACCCTCAACCTTTACAGGATCCACCACCATCGCCTGGTCCGTGAAACGATGGTCACTGGCAGCGGTAGCAACGTAAGGCCTGCTGGTTCCTGGCTCCGCTGCGAATCTGGCTGGCAAGACTCCAAAGACGGATCCATCGTGCTGACCCTGCAAGCTCAAGCTGGCCATCCTCGATCCAAAGCCGCGACTACTGGCACTACAAGTTTGCTGCTGCTGCTGAAAGTTAAGCAATCCACCGCCGAGTTGCTCGCTGCTCTTGGCGAAGAAAGGAAGAGCATGGTGGTGCCGGTGGTCCGAGCTATAAGAAGAAGCGGACGGAGAAGTCACAAACGGATGATCGCCGTTTTGCTGCTGCTGGATCATCAAACTACTGCTGTTACTGCGATTGGAGGAGTTAGCCAAGGCGTACTGGTGAAGAGCAAACTCGTCCACCGGACTCCTTGGAGAGACCTGTTCTAAGCCATCCAGGGACACCCGGCTTGGAATGCTCATGAGCGGCGGTGGGACGACGGTGGTGGCGGCCGCTGCTTGGGGCCGGCTACTGAAGTATCTACATCCACCTTGAGACGCAACCGGCGACGCTCCCGAGAGCTGCATCAACACCGAGTGATCCACCAAAGTTGCTGCTGGTGCTGCTGCCCCTGTTCTTCCGAGGTTGCCTTGGATAGATGCGAGCGCAGTGGGGGACGAGTTTTGGAACTGTGCCGAGGGTGGTAGTGTTCTCATTTCGCCGAGCGCGTTGAGAGCTGCAAAGGAAGCTTCCGCAGGCGAGCAAAAGGTGACGGCGTGGCCGTTTGCTCCAGAGCCTTGAGGCTGGACACCACTCAGCCTCCTCAAGTAGAGCCGGTACTTCTGCAAGAGCGCAAGTGTGAGAACGCGAGGCAAAGCCGAGCTACAACCTCGTCATGGATTTGGAGCTCAGCTCCAACTCTCTCGCAACTCTCGCAACCAAGAAGCTATCTTCTCTCGACGACGAGCTGGACATCTAAAGACTCGGAAAAGGAACTACGTGACTGAAACTATGCAAGCTGGTCGATAGTGGCGACGAGCTAAAGACCAAGAACCGGAAGAGTCGAGTACCTGGAGATGGCTGGCAACGTTCTCGCGAGTGAGGCCATGGACGCTCATACTCTCCAGAATCTTCTTCGGCACAGCTTCTGCCAAAAAACCAAGCTTCGTGAGCAAGGCCGAGAAGAACTAAGAGAAGACCGAGGAACTTACTATCAATCCCGAGCTGGTTCACGGCATTGACAAACTGCTGGTGGAGCTCCACCGACCAGACGACGCGCTGCTTCTTCAACGTGGAAGAGTCATCGTTGTCATGCTCAGCGGTCTCGTCGCCATCGTCTTTCCTCCGCTTGGCCAGCTTCCAGTTTGGATCGCCACCGCCGCCACCATCGGAGTTAAACTCTCCCTCGTCGATGGTCGAAGCTCGCCTTTGCTGCTGGGAGGAGTGATGCTGCTGCTGCTGGTGATGGTGGTGGTGATTTCTCTCGCCGCCATCTTCGACGCTGCCAGAGGCCTCCACGTCCCGAGCTTCGTTGCGTTTCTTCCGGACGACATGCTGCCAGATGTTCCGGAGCTCCTCCGTCCTGACCGGCTTGATGAGGTAATCGCAGGCCCCGTGGATGACACCCTTCATCACAATGCCGGTTTCTCCGTTCGAGGACGTCACTGCAAAGGTCAGAGCTTTGTCAAGTTGTATGTCCTCTCATCTCATTTGCGAGTTCCAGGAGCTTTGGAGGAAGAACTTACTGATCACCGGGAGGTCCATCTCCAAGCCAACGTACTCAAGGAGTTTGAAGCCGTCCATGTCCGGCATGAAGACATCGCTGATCATCAAGTCGAATCTGTCCTTGTTCTCGCGGAGTAACGACAGCGCTTCGGTGGCTCTCGTACACATGGTAACTGTAGCAAGTCCAAAACAAACATTAGAGCAAATCTGTGAAGAACACCACGCTTCGACAATTCTACGTCAAAAAAGATCGCAGCTACAAGGATTCCGCTGGAGCTATGGACAGTTCTATGCCACCCAATGGAAAGAAAAAAGAAAAAAAAGAAAAAAAAAACTATACAAAACGTAGGCGCGACACGAACGCAAGCATGAAAAGCGGAAGAAAAAATCACACAAATCCAAGCATGAAAGCGAGAAAAAGCTATGATCAAACGAAAGGAAGAAGCTTACCTTCGTAGGAGCATTTTCGGAGCATCTGCGCGAGGATCCTGAGACAAGTTGGATCATCGTCCACGGCCAAGACTCGGAGACCCGCTGGGAATTTGCCCAAATCCTTGGCTTGCGGCATTGCGATCCCAGTCTTGTCCACGCCCACCATCTTTGTCCTCCCGCAAGAACAAGAGAGAGAAAGAAGAACACGAGCAAAGGGTGCGGCGATCTTTGTCTGTCTATCGGACGGAGCTCGTGAGGAGAAGAAGAAGACCCAACACCCCCATCTCAAGAACAAGCCCGGGAATGCAAGGAAAGAGAGTGGATCCAGGCATTTGACAACGACCCACAAGACGATCGCGGAGAGCTCTCGCACTCTCTCCTACTGAATTTTAGGGCGCCAATGGCGAGAACTGGACGATCTCTTTTGGAAACTCCCAATCACGAAAAATCCACACGCGAGAGCCCCCGCGAGCGAGGGCGTTTTCGATTCGCCCGGCAAGAAAGAGAGGAGGAAAGAAAGCATGGATGGAGGATTTGGGCGAGCGAGCGAGCGAGCGAGCCACACACAGAGAGAGAGAGAGAGAGAGAGGGAGGGAGAGAGTTCTAGCGCACGAAAAAGAACTCCTTTTCTTCTTCCTCGCTAAGAATTCTCTCCTGGGACTAGATTACTCTCGCAACACTCTCCATTGGGTTCTATAAGATCTCGCAAAAACTAGTTTTTTTCTTCGTTCTTTAGGAGGAGTGGAATTGGAATGGATCGATTGGAATTGGATTAGGAGTAGTAAAACGGCCGAGGCGCAGGAGCAGCAGGAGATGGCGATGGCGTTGCTGTTGCCACTGTTGTCTTGTTCCTCATGAATTTCTGGAGTTTCTTGCGAGAGAGGAGAGGAAGAGCACACAGGGAGAAGTCAGGTCTACACCTACAGCTCTAGCCAAGCAAGAAAAAAAAGAAGAAAACAAGTAAAATATATTGGCCTGAAAAGAGGAGAAAGAGGGTTTTTTTTTTTTAAAGGAGAAAAGAATCCGAAAGAAAACAAAAGCTCTGTTCGTTCTTGTTGGTGTTCGTTCGTACTGGCTGTTCTTCCCAGCTATGGTGGGAAAAAGGGGAAATTTTGGGGGAGAGGCGCAAAAGAAAAAAGAGAGAGACTGGAAATCAATCAATGCAGTGCGTACCATCAATCGCTAAGACGGCGTCTTTATGGCCCAAAATCGCGGCTTGGCACAGTTTGCGCGAAACGAAAAGGTGGGAAGAAAGAACACATCGAGTACAAAAACAGAGTGCTCTCCTGGAAGGGGGCGATCTTCTCCTGGAGCGAATCGAGAAAAGAATCGAAGAGGGTAGAAAGAAAAACAAACGAGAGATTCAC